GGCAGTTGGATTAGTAATGATTCTGCTATTGGGTTATCATATCTATCATACGGATCATGCAGTCAAAGCAATTTTCAATGAGAAAGCTGATTAATAGAGGCAGGAATGACATTTCAGGGACTGTAACTATAACTTTGTTATGTTTAGCAGTTCGAAGATTGTATTAAACTTTGATGTTGAATAAATCATGTTTTGATTCAAACTAGAACATATCATACAATGTCAGAAAACAATAAATTGTCTCTGAGCACGACTCTTTGGCGTATGGGATCAGGAAGAACAACGCCGATGGGCGGACTTTCCCACGCTCCTCTCTGGTCGTCTCTTCTCAGTCATTACTATTTCGTTCTCCTTTTTTCTTACTTTTCCATTTCTTCTCTCTTTTCTTGTCATACTATTTGGTTGATACAGCAGGAAGAATCATCGCTTCGACCTTACATTTCCCTCAACAATCGAAATGGGCATGTGAACGAAGAAGTTGAACGAGATGAAGATCTTCCCTGTCTCAGCTTCTTCATTGTTCAGTTCATTCATCCTCCATTCTTTTTCTTAATTTCAACTCTTTACGTTCCATTCAATTCTCTAAAAATGCTCTAAAATCGTACAAATTGTTTTTGGTTTCATAGTTTTATTAAACCGACCGTTCGTCAAAAACTCTGAATTCAATTTGTTAATAGCATCATCGTCACATTCTTTTTATTACTTCCTTCTTTATCAAACGATTATTCTGCAAAGAAAACTGATCAGACAGCAATTCTCACAACTGTGATCAATCTTCACCTAGATTGTTAGCGCTAATCCTGAGAAATAAGAACCTGTAACATGACTATAAGAACATCTTTTTTCATCACCTGATATTCGGAAATTGAAATTGAACTAGTTTACAAGCTTTTCGAACTTCATTTGAATTGAGTCTCGAATGCAACCGACCGATTCTTCCGAGTGTTTCAAGAAATGAGAATGTTCAGTGCTTCTTCGAATCCAAAAAAAGAGTTTTATGCATTTAAATGACTTTTCTCCCGCGCTCTCTATCATTCAGTATTTTAATGACATTTCCCGTTTTCTTGTAGAAACTATTCCAAGAAATATTGATAAACTTTTCGTATTTGCATATACGTTTTCTTATGAAATAAGATTATCTTATGATTTTACAAAACCTTCGCGTTCCCACGCTGCCTCGTAATCGTCTGCGTTTTAGTAAAGTGTTAAACCGCGAGACAGATGACCACAAAATGGCCAAGACGTCCGTTTCAGATTGTCTGTCAAACGGTGAGGAATGGCATTTCTAATGACATTTTGAAATAGCCTAAATTGCATTTTCATTTTATTGCTGTTCTAGTTGATGATCAAAACTGACCACAACGAACTTTGGTTGAACCTCCAAGTTATTTCTTTCTTATCATCAATCGAACTCTGTTGAACAATTACTCATCATCTACTCTCAGCTTCATTATTGATCCAGAACATCTTTAGACACAGACGACTTATACTTGTCCTTTTTTGCTCCAATAGACTCATATATATTATTTACTACAATCGCCTTGTTTTGATCAATTGTACGACCTTAGTCGGTAGTCAATATACTATACAATGGTGTGATATGTGTAACATCCTGTAATATATTTGATTATTGATCACTTTTGGAACTCGTCTCAGAAAACATTATTGCAACACTTTTCGATTAATTAAGCTATTCTCATTATAAAACTTGAAAAATCCCAAAGAATACCGTTTGACTTGTAAAAAAGAAAAACCAATTATTAAAGCTTGCTATCTTACACTTCATTGCCAATTTCCCATTAAAGTGACGTCAACCGAAAAATGCGCTGAGTGCAATACGTAGTGTAAATTTTATATTTTTTGATATTTCGCTTAATTTCTTCATTTTTAACTTATTAATCAGCTTTTCGGTTAGTATTCACATGGAATATCAACCATCGTCATCTTCTAACTCTTAAAGTCATGTAGAAACACTTGTTTTTTCAGTTTTTAACTGGTAATAGTGCGTCTAATTGCTTGAAACATTTATATTTCGAAAGATGAGTATAGTATGATGATAACAATTGAGTTTTTGCGGCAAACGAAGGGTAAATTGTCTTTTTTTCCCAAACCTTTCTTCTTCTTCTCGCTGATAGTTTGTTTTCGGCATGATCATGACTTCTCCAAAACTCCTTTCTTGACTGCACAAGTGTGATGTATGCGCACAGTTTAGTGATTGTATTTCGAAGTTGTGATGTTTTCGGTTTTGAAGAAAAAAAAGAGAGAAGTACGCAAAATCGAAGTTCAACTTTTAACTTCCTTCACTGTCTCCTCATTCTAAGCATGCACAAGGAGCAGATCGCTGTATGTCGAACTTTCATTATAAAATTATTGGATCTATGAATAGTGAAATAAGACTATCATTCAAAAAGAATCCACCTGGTAGAATTCAGGCAGCTCCAAGTAGAAGAGAGATTGAAATATATCTCCGAAAAAATTCTAAGTATGATTGTTTTTCGAAGATTCCAAGCTTGGATGCCAGCTCATGTCGTTCATTTCGATGAAACTTAAAACAGATAGGATTCTTCTGTGTTATGGAACAGAGGGTTTTCCCCATATCCAAAGAATGAAAAACTTATTAAAAATATTAAAAAACTTGTCTGTCTTTAGAACTGCGCGTGTTGTCTTCACCCAATGCGTATCAGGGTTCAAGGCTTGAAATTATGATGCCATAAGAACCTGACAAACAGTAACTATGCGTATTGAAAGACTATGCTTGAGAGAGCTTGATTCAAACTTTCATTATTCATTCGCCTAATTTTTGTATTGGTTTATGAACTAGGGTACTCGTCGATGTAATAGAATTGAGTAAGAGTGGAAAAGCTTTCGCAGAGTAAATCAAGATACTGAAAGAACTTCGCAGTTGTAGATTTTTGAGCAAGATGAGGAAGATTGGTGTCTTATTCTGGTAGTGGTGATCGACTATTGTTTGGGAGGAAGAATGGAGAGTAGATAAAAGAATGAAGAGAGGAGTTATGTATGTCGATACATAAATACTAAAGTTTTGCTTCATGATAGGTGGGTAAGCTGCTCTAATCTCGCCGGCCTCCCCAATGGTTACCAACATTGGACTGTAGTTCACCAAAACCAACTTGGTTGATCACATTGAAGTTCCTTGTACCTAATAGAGTAGGGATTTCATAACTCATCCGAAGACGTAATGTGATGAGTTTCCTTACGCTACTCCAGAATTTCATTGCAAGTCAGAGAGGGTAGAGACATTGCAGACATCACAACTTCGAGAAAGAATCAAACGAATTCTACGATTTGTCAAAATGCTTATGTTTTGTTCGGTAAAAATAACTAATTTGCACATAAAGTTCACCTATAAGCCTCCATTTATCGTTATACTTGTGTTGAATGTTATTCTTATATACATGAACTTTCATCTTGTTTAAAAACTTTTATAAGTTTTCAAAAAAATACGCAAAGTAACCATAACGCGCACAGTTAAATGGGCGGAGCTTTGCGGAAAATCTAGGAAACAAGAACTTAATTTTATTTTTTAAGGCAATCAAGATTTTAACTTAGTCGTTCGTTTCCAAAACATTATTTATTAAATCTGCCATGTGGCAGTCACAACAAATCGCCGCTGCTTTAGCGGCACAATCACCTAAAGCCCAATCTCAAATTCTTCAACAGGTATTGCTATATGAATCATATAATTATTGAAAACGTTTTTTTGGAGATGTCTTTTATTCAATCCCTCCAACAGCCTTTACTCTTACAAGCAGTAGCCACTTCAGCTAATTTGAATACGGACATTTTTGAATCAAATCAAGTTCGCGCCAACCACAAGTGTATTGTTAATGTGATCGTTCAGATTACCGGTGGGTCTCACGTGCTCAGTTCTGGTCCATGCACAAGTACGGATATCAATAATTATACGGGTTCATGTGTATGTTTTAAGAATTTTTATTTTTTTTCATAATTTTTTATATTTACTGTTGTTATACTCATATTTTTAGTCTCCTAATGTGCCTTCTGCCCAAACTTCTCCTAGGACAGCTAAACGTAGGCCTTCTTCACGATCTTCTCTCAATACTCCAGCAAAACGTTCTCCAACTGATGAAAATAGATTAAATGGTACAGGTTAGTTCTTTGTTCCTTTGAAATTCATCTTCGCCATTATGGGACGTTTTCTCGTCATTTTCTGTAGAATTCATATACTGCGAATTTCGCAATCGCTTCATTTGCCAAACAGTTTGCTGTAAGAAAGCATTATTGTGTTTCTGAGTAGAAAATGATCATTAGTCTGAAACTTTTCTTATTTTTTTGCGCAGTGTTGTTGATGAGACAAATGTTTTTACTTATCCGTCGAACTCAGCATGAAACTGAGCAATCTGATTATTATCATGGTTTACTGAGGTTAAATATAATCAGTTGTGTGCTTGGAGCGGGGTGAATGTGCTGACGTAGGCGTTCAATTAGCGGGCATTTTTTTGTTTGATAGTGAAAGATTATTCTAAATTTTTAGTAAAAACGGAAAGCTTTAGTTTTTATCAAATCAACAACGACATGAGCGTTGCTGATTTTTCTAATTGCGGGCAGTAAAATTGCGATCCCTTCCCTATTTTTTATCCATTATTTCTTCGCACGGGCCTTATTGCAGGGGTTCTCTTTTTTTCTCACACAAATCAATAGTTCGATATTTGAGCAGAAAACGTTGTGTTTTTGTGGGCCAAAGCTTTGAACACTCTAATATTGATTGAGATTACGTAATAAGAACAAAGACTGTTCTTTTCTGACTGCGAACTTATAACTCCTTATTAAGTGGATAGTTCATTTGTCTTCAAATGACAGACGGCGGTCGTTGTAAGGATGAGCAAGCTTTTTCTTTTCCCCCCATTGACTTAGCTCAATATGAAGAGCAGCAAGAAGAAGTATATCACTTGAGCACGAAACGCAAACTTTGGCAGAAATAGCCAGGTGTATATGAGCAAGTTGGCGGCTTCCTTTGTAGTAGCCTTGCTCACCCATGACTCTTCATATTATTTGGAAAATAAGGAAAGTTTGAGATATTCTTTCTGAAATACTCGAATGCAAATAAAGACAGACTTCATGAAATTCAGCTTGAGCTGACTCGTACTGAATTTCTAAGCTTCTAGAAAAACAATATGGCTATGCTAATGTGTCATGCTTTGGATATACTGAGTAACATCATCTGTACTGGTGCTTACCATTTCTTGCGTAATGGTCAGGTCATCAGCTGGTGTCTCCTAGAGGCCCTTTAAATAGTATTGGGAGTTCATCAATTGTTATTTTACTATGTTCTAAACTGTTTCAAACAATTGTCGTTTCATAGTCAAGTACTGAGAATGATACTCTTGAGTCTTTTGTCAAGTAATACAGCTTTAGGTCATGTATTGTTTATATCATCAGCTATATACATGGAACAAAGTCAATATATTCCTACGCTGTTTTGCATTTTTCTCTGTTTTCTGGACTCATTTTCTCAAGGTAACGGAACTGAGCTCAATATAGCATGGGGAGGTACTGGGCCTGGGCGGGACAATTTCCGAATTCATTCTCCGGATAGTTCTCAATGATTAAGCTGACTATGTTTTGCGAAGCTGTCTTGAGCTACCCTACCGTGTTCAACCTCATCTAGGCTGCTAGTCCCGCCCCTTGTCAAGCCTACTTGCGCTGACAGCCGACCGAGCTCTCCAATTGGTCAACCAATTTCGTGATCCCGCCCCTCTGGGTTGGTGGAACGGACTCAGCTCTCTTGAAAAGGAGCAGCGAGTGGGAATCTCCCACAGCTAGATCCTCTGGACCTCCGCTTTTGCCATTCCCATCCCACACTCGTCCTCGGGAGATTCCCGCCATGGATTACCAAACGTCTTCGGCCCCTCCTCCCTCTGGAGCAGCAGCACTAGCGGTTGACGGTGGTGTCGGTTGCGGCTCGAACTCTGTAGTTACCGCAGCAACGTACTGTTCTTCTGTCGAAGATGAAGCCGCTTTGGTGGCGCGCTCATTGCCGTATCCGCTTGGCATGCACGACTTGACCAGCGTCAGCCAATATTATGGATATCCGCCAGTCCATAACGAAGTTTGGCCCGGTATTGGAACGTTTCCTTGTAACTTCCAACCAATGCAAGCCGCGGCACCGCCAATGCCTCGACATCTGTTGTATGGTCAGCAGAGTCTTCAATGCGGCATGGGTACGTTTGTGTTATCAAAACTTTGAGACTTACTTCCTGTTCCTATCTCTGTTTGAAATTCATAATTTTATCCTTCTCTTCTCAAAGAATATAAACACTTTTTTCACAACTGAACCGCCATTTTGTTTGAATTTGGGCAAATTAACTGTCTGCGTAATGTTTTCTGCATATTAATCATAACTTTTGTGAGAGTTCATGAATAGTTTTTCTACGGAAATACAATGCGAATGCAGACCGCCAAGTCACTTCTTTTCATAATTTTTGGAAAAAAAAGATCATAGAATGAGAAACTGCAGAAAAAAGCTAGAAAACGTCCCCATTGATGGCAAATGAAAATTCGAATAAATCATAAAAAAAACTTTCAGATCCTTTTTATAATATGTCAGCCCCTTCATCCTCCACGTCTTTCCTTGATAGTGGATTTGGGTCTGTAAACTGTTCAAGCCTAGTTCAGCCTACTCTCGCTTTACATAGTGTGATGCAACCTCCGCCTGGGCTAACAAGGTCTACCGTTTGAGAACAAGTAGAGTCACAGAAAAGTATTTTTAGTGAACGAATGGCTCAGTATCTCTCGAACCGCTTAGTATATGATTGTGTGGTTACTATTTTCCATGCCAAAGTTGCTCAGAAGTCATATGGAAACGAGAAACGGTTTGTTTAATTTCCACGTTTCTTTGCCTTCGCTTTCCGTCACGATATGCTCGTTCTCGACTTACCGTAACCCCTTGGATGATGAAAGCATTTCTTCAAATTGTGAAGACAGACGGTTTAAATGGCATAGGTTGCGGTAATGTAGACCTTATCGTAGATACTGATGAAGGCCACCTGTGCTCAGCTCATTTGTTTGTTTTCCTAATACAAATTGATACAGTCTGAGATGTTGTGAACATAATCAGCATGACATCCAGTCTTAGACACCCAGCTGTCTTTATATGTGTAACACTAATCTCTCCTACTCCTCGCTCCTTATCTGGTCAATTAGCATATGGTGGCCTAAGACGCAACGAAGGATTTTTACTAATTGATGTAGATCTCTTAAACATAGTTCGAACGTAAGCCTCGGCTTTCCCACTTCAATTTTGTTTACCACATTTAGTTACAAATTTTCCTTAACGGAAATTTGAAAGAATACTCAACGTCCTTCAGGTTCACAAACTTTGCTTTGTTTCTTGTAATGCAATTTGTACCGAAGGTTAGATAATGTATATGGGTTAAACCTCAATCAGACTTCATATATTAACATTTCTTATATCCTTCTTTGATTGTTAGTATAATATTATGTAGAATTCTTAGAATTGTGCGAAAACTCTGATCCTACGGTAGCCTGATATATGGGATCATTTTCCCACAAAGCCAATCACAGGTAAACATAGATGATTAAAATAGCAATTGTTTTGCTAGGCTCAAGGGGTTTACTGTAGTCGGTTGAGCATGTGATCGTGAGAAAAACTTGAATTTAATTAAATTATATTTTAGATTCTTCTGTCCTCCACCGTGTATATATTTGACTGGGGGCGGATGGAAGGGGAAACGAGCTCAGGTTTTAAGCAAAATATCGAGTAGTTCCGTTCATACGGTAGTTTAGATGGAGTCTTTCTTGAAAACTTATAAGGAAAGCCGAAGAGCTTGTGGTGGCCCAGATCTTCTCCCAGAACTTGATCGTTATTCGGTGATTTATCTAACAGTGAAAACTTTAACTTCTGTTTCTTAAAGACTAGCGAAGCTAGCGAGCTTGTTGCCTACATTGGTATTGGAGCTCCATCTGATCAGGAAAGGCAACAGCTAGATTTTACCAATGGAAAAGTAGTGTTTTTTTAGTTAGAAAAGCTCATAGGCAATTGCAGGATTACTGTGCTGCAAAGACATTGTACATTAGTGATGCCGACAAAAGAAAATATTTTGAGCTTTCGATTCAGTTTTTCCATGCAGTTGGGTTCGAGATAGGGTTGTTCAATTCTCAAAGAATCAAGGTAGATAGTGTATTCAGATGTAGTAAAATACCAAAATTTTGTACAGGTTATAAGTAAGCCTTCGAAGAAGAAGCAAAGTATGAAAAACACTGATTGCAAGTACTTATGCATTGCTTCCGGAACAAAAGTATTGAATTTCGCTCAAAATTCTCACGAAGAAGATTTCTCTTAGGTTGCTCTATTTAATCGTCTTCGATCGCAAACTGTAAGCACTCGCTATCTACATGTAGAAGATGGGGTATTCCATGCGAGCTCTACTAAGTGGGGAGCCTTTACTATTCACTTGTGTATGTTATTCTCATCGCTGAAATATTGCTCATTCTTGAAATTTAGATGATGATGAGGAAGGAATTGCCGACCAAGAACGAGAAAACTTCCTAGTAAAGGATGGTTTTGTTTATTATGGGTCTGTTATTAAGTTGGTTGATAGCGTTACAGGCCTTGCTTTGCCAAGGTTGAGAATTAGAAAGGTATCCTTCAAGTTATAATAGCGAACAAAAATGAACGGCTTAAGGTTGACAAGCAAATGGTAATTCTGGATCCTTCAACTTCTGAGGAGCCTGTTTCTCAACTTCACAAATGCGCTTTCCAAATGATGGATAACGAACTTGGATATTTGTGCCTGAATCATGATAAGATCATTCAGCATCAAGTTAGTATCTTTCAAGTTTTTTTCAAATTTCTGGAGATTTTTTATTTCTTATTCTTCTTTCCACCGTAATACTTGCTGAATGCTATTTGCTCTAGCTGGATGAAGAGAGAGACACATTATCCTCTTCTTCAGGCCAGCTGACGATTCTCACATGTCTTATTAATTAGCTGGCACCAGTAAAAGCGCCCACTGAATATGGAAATGTCTCCCTTTTTATATTTCTGAATTTATTAAAACTAATTTTCTTTCTGTAGCTAAGAATTCTCTAAAATTATTATTACTATCATAGGCTACTCCATTCGATGGAAATCGTCATCAAATCAGTGATGGCGCGGCATGGACCATTATTTCTACAGACAAAGTAATTTCATTCGAAATATCGTTTTTTCACATGGCATTTATAGGCTGAATATCGCTTTTACGAAGCCATGGGTCCGACAAATCGCACCATAACTCCGGTTCCCATAGTTTTATCCATGGAAATCACTGGTGGCGATCATATGGCCAGAGTTACATTCAGCGGTTATAACTTCAAAGCAAATCTTAAAGTCTGGTTTGGAGCTACACCTGTTGATACTACCTGGAGGTTTTTTTTTTTACTAAACTTTGATATGCTGACAAATCTCTTTTCTCTAACAGATCTGAAGAATCGTTAACATGTATGATTCCACCGTGGTCTACTATCAAGATGGATGGAGCTTACCAACCTTATGCCCAAGATTTGGAGGTTCGGTATTTGTTCAAGTTTCCATTTCTGATCGCCAGGGTTTTCAGGTTCCAATCTGTTTAGTCAGAGATGACGGTGTTATATATTCTACCAATCTGACATTTTCTTACAAAAACTTGCAACACAAACGCATAAAAGCGGATTTCGGATAAACAAAAACAGTTATTATTAATATTGGATTCATTCTCTGGAGCAATTCGTTTAACGTTCCCTAAATTTTTCCCTGATTCTCTCATTTAACAGGCAACGAATAATAATTGAGTGATTTGTTTTCATTCCCCGGTTTTTGAATCGTTTCGAGAGCAAACAGTTACCTTTTAATATTCTCTAATGTTTAATATTTCTGGTTTACTTTCTAACTTAGCTACTAATTAGTATTTTCTATTTTTATAAACTAGACATAAATAGACAGATCTCCCTTGTCCTAATTCAAGCCAATTAGCTAAGCACAATTCCCCACTTGGATTCCCCTGTCTCTGTATTGTTGTGACTGTCTTTATTTATTCACTAAACGTGATATCATAATATGTAAATGCAGAGTGTAATGAAATAATTTATAAAACAGAAAAAATCCAGGCTATACAGAGAAATTTACAAGTACAGAAAAGTAGACGAAAAATATGTGACGTCAATGAGATTTCATTTGGAAGTTGGATTAGCACATGAGCGGTTGTGTTGGAATATGTTTCTATTCTTATTCTTTTTTGTACTTCGATGGTTTAGAGAAGCAGAAAGAGAGAATGAATCTGAAAATTTTGTAACTAATGTATAGACTGACAAGCAGAATTGATAGAAGGAAAGCAATGGAATCAAGAGAGTAGTATTGGAAGAAATTCAGTTCGAGCCCGGCTGGCACAAGATTTTCCAATGTTTTGAACTCAGCTGTGAATTCTGTCCATCTGATCAGTAACTCTTCAGGAGAAATTGGTTGATGTCGAACCATCTCACGTAAACGTAGAGCCTTCTCTGCGTACCTAAGGTTGTATCGTAATAATGGTTTAAAAAGATGTGCTTACGAAGGGCTGTTGATAATTTCAAGCAAGCCTCTTTCCAATACATCTGGGTTATCTATCTGGGACTTAGAAATAACTACAGCTATGCCGTGTTTCTTTGCTATCATCGCATTTTTTGGTTGATCTCCAAAAAGTGGAACTGCCAGCATGGGTTTTCCAGCTGCAATTGTTTCCTAGGAAGCAGAAAAAAAATTCGGAAGAAATGTGAAGAATAATCACTTGCAAACTGTTGTATCCACCGTGGGTAATGAAAGCTTTTGTTTTCGGATGCTGAAGAATGTCTGTTTGGGGTACCCATTTGAACAGCTTCAGATTTTGTGGTAGACGGTCTAATTTAAAAAACAAAAAATACATGGCTTTTCCTGTGTTAGTACCGTTCAGATCATCTTTTTCGTATCGCATAATAAATTGATAATTCGGTAATCGTGAAACAACTTGTAGTATACTGATTTTCCAACTCTCAGGCATCAAATGAGCTGGAGCAACAGAACCAAAAGAAAAGTAGATAACACCCTTCGCTTTTTGGAAGAGCTCGTCCATATCCTTTAAAAATTCATGAATCACGAATAATCTTTTGAAAGAACCTTTGGCAGAGGCTTGCCGTCCTTAATTTGCATTCCAATTCCTCCAATGTTTATAACTTTTGCCAATGTTGGACGAGGAAGTTGATATAAATCATTTGAGTTAACCATAACTAATGGACATTCCTTTGATAGATCAGCAATATGAGGGAAGTTAGGATCAACGTGTTTTCTCCAAAATTCTGTTTCTGGATTTGTCATCATTCTTAAGAATGATTGAAATGATGATGATGATGATAAGAAGATAAAGAGAACCTATCAAACAGAAGGTTAACAAGTGTATGTCCCATGAAGCTTTTCGTTCTCTCAAAGAAGTTCATCTTATCTTGAGCCTCCATAATCATAGCTGAAAGCATTGTTTGAGACTTTTTTCTAATTGAACAATGCGAATGTGTATCCTACTTGGAACGTATGATGGGACCGTCGGAACACCAACAATATGGGCTATCTGATCCATCAGCATGCCGCTGTTAAGCCAAATCCAAGTTGGTATTTCAGCATAATGTACGATACCAATTGGACACGGATGGTACATGTAAACAAAAGCTAAGTCATATTTCTCAGCTTTAAGCCAATCGAGTACTTCCTTGTTCTGTACCAGAGCTGCAAAACAAGAATTCTGACACATCCAGAAAATCTCTTTGAACCTTCACAAATTTTCTGTAAAAATCCACTGAATAAAGTCATACTATGACGAACTGCTTGAACATTGAATATAGACATGTCCTTCAATAAAATTTAGGTAAGCTTCAGTGAAAGAACACAGTCAACCTTATAAATAAATTCTGATTGGCGCTCGTTAAGGCTCGCCTGGGTGTAACCTGATCGAGCTTCCATTTTTTTCACTGAAAATTTCAAAAAATTGAAAACTCTGTGGTGGCGAGGGACCTTTAACAATCGGATCAACTTTAACGGTCGTGTCTTCTTCTTCAAAAGGATTAATGGCTAGCAGAGTAACATCATGTCCAGCTTTTGCCAGAAGAGTGGAGATTCTAGCATTGTATACTGTCTGAATTGAATCCTTTATGACAAGTTGTTAGCTATTGTAGCTCACCTGGCTTTTAGCTATATTAACAGAAATTACAAGAATTTTACGTTTCTCTTTCAGAACTTCAGAAGATGAAAAAGGAATGAATAACAAAATTAATATTAACAACAACGATTCTCTCATTTCTGTAAAAGATTGTTTATGAATTAGAAATAATAAAATAATGAAGAACAACCGGTCAATGCATCAATCAAAGATAGAATAAGCTCATTTACGGGAGAGTTACGTGAAAATCAAAACTACGTGAATATGATAGATAGAACTCTCTGTAAGCGAAAAAGGAGATAAATGATTGCTTTTATGAATATTTATAGGTTTCTTAATGAATCAAACATCTTAAGGTTCATTGTGCTGTACAAACTACAATCAGCAATAACTGAATTGACAGCGATCTACAGTTGAAACGGTGATTTTATAGGAAAAATTGAGGAGAAATAAACGATAGAACGGAATAGATAAGATTTCAGTGACGAAATGCATTTACAGTTTTGTATTTTTCACGTAAATATTTTTTTTTAAATGAAAATCACGTACATTGTATTCTTAAAATCAAAAAACTATTTTTTTTACGGCGCCCATGAACGTGAACTTGAAGAGGTCAAATGTTCATTTGTTCAGAGAGAGAGAGAGAGAAGGACATTTTAGAAATGAAAAAATTGTGATCTCTGGTGAACGAATTATTGTTTTAGAGCATATCATTGGAAGTTATTATGATATTGAACTTTTCAATAACTTTAGTAACCCTTCATCAGAAATCTGTCATACAGTTGCATTGTGGGTACTACCGTGTTTGCATTGGAAGAATGAGTCAGGCAGAACCTGCATGCAGTTTCCCATTTGCACCCTATTTAACAAATGAGTGATTAATAGACGAAAGTGTGTATTCAAACATATAATTACCTTTATGCAAAAGAACAATAATTTATGTGGGTTTATGATTATTGTTAAAGATTGTTATCAATGATGTAAAATAGTAAAATATGATATAAACATATATGGAGAGTCGGAAGAACCTATTGATAATCAAATAGGAATGTCTTCATCATCTCTTCTACCTCACTCTTTTTCTCTCTTCTACAGTTCATCTCTCTCACTTTCTCTCTTTCTCTCTTCCTCTTTCCTACCTCTAATTGAAAATTATAATTTCTTAAAAATGTTTCAGTTACTCTTTGAGCTTAGACCTACATTACATCATTAAGACTGCAGCTAATCATGTTTTGGCTATTCTTGTACATTTTCCAATCGGTAGACAAAAATGCTTCCTAATTTCTTTTTTATCATTTCGTTATCTGAAACTTCTCTAACCTCTTTTTTTCGCATTTCAACGATTACCTGGTTCACGAAAAGATAAAAGCATTTATCAAACTTGTATTCAAATTATTTGTTCGGCAACATTATTATTAAACAAAGAAGAAAAAAATTAATTTTAAGATCAATCATGGATATGCCAACTCCAATGCCTGGCATGGGCAACTCTACTCATCACCATATGGATATGGGCGACCATTTCATGTACATGTGGTTTCATACAGATCCTAAAAACACAATACTTTTTGGCTTCTGGAATACACACAACGGCGGAGGTGATCTTAACTCATTTTCAAAATATTTACAAAAAAATTAAATTGCAGAGATTGGCTACTCGTGTGTTATCATCTTCTTCCTATCCATCTTTCTTGAACTTGTTAAATATGCTCGATGGAGGTTTGATGTATATACCGCTAAGAAAACAGATTTTTATGAAAAAAAGTAAGAAGAAGCTTAATCTTTGAAATATTTTCTTATCTTCTTCATCATTTGCATCACTTATGATGGTGATCACCTGAGATCTTAGATCAAGTATTTCAGATATTTTCATCAATTGATTGAAATGTACCATATAAGTCAAACTCTATTATACGGTATTCAGGTATATACTGATGAAGTCTATTCAAATTATTTTTTAAACCATTATAGACATTGACAATGTATTTTGTGATGCTTGTCTTTATGACTTTCTCCATTTGGCTCTGTATATCAATTGTTTGTGGATTATCTATAGGGCATTACATGTTTGGTATTAGAAGATCTCCTGTAGACACAGTGGATCCTCTTCAATTGAATGATGATACTTATATATTGAATACTACTGGTTACCAAAGAAGTCGCAAAGTCTTGGCTAGGTTTTGATAAAAAAAAATTTTTTTTTTCACTCTCACTCCATGTTTCAAGAAGTCTCTCTTCTGCTCTATCTTACTCCAAACCTCATTATTCATTGTTTAACCTAATTTTAGTTAAAATGAGGATGAAAATGTATTTCCATTTCCGGCTAAATGAACCGGTGCTATTCAGACAGTGGGTTCCCGGCAATACAGCAGGTAGATCTGATAGGAAGAATTATATGACAGAAGCTTACCATCTTCAGGTTATATCTTCACTTGTTTGGCTGTATTTGCTATAGCTCTGACCTTTGAACTTCTTCGTTATTTTCATAATGGATTTCTGAGAAAAGTATATTTAGGAGAGAAGGAGGGTTCATTTCATGACTGTTGTCACATGCCAGGAGAACATTCCAGAATTTCTCCAGATCTCCCGTATAACTGTAAAATTTGATTCATTTATCGAAGATAATTTCAGATTCAAAGTGAAATATTTGTTCCGAGCTTTCAACATAATTTCACCAGTTTTATATTTTATGGAAATGTATTTATCATACAGTTTAATGTTAGTTTCTATGACATATAATGTGCCGTTCGTCGCCAGCTTGTTAGCAGGTAACTGATGAATTTGAAATGTTCAACCTTTTATGGCATTCAAGGACATATATTGGGCTATTACTTGGTGGGGTCGAAGATGTCACTATCACAAGATGATGAACAAGCTGATTGTTGTGCTTAACTTTTTGAGTATGAACAATAAAATTATTAATATCTATTTCTTGCTTTCTCTTCAAACAGCTTGAATCACATTGAATGAGTGTTCTTCATCAGCTTTTTTTTATTTTGAGCTTCTCGTTTTGGTCTCCAATGATTACTGACCACAAGGAGTTTAAGATAAAATAAGCAATGACCAAACAGATATTGGAACGAAGAAAGACAGATCAAGTGGAGAGAGGGAGAGACAGGCTTGAACTCGAAGCTCAAAGAACGATCTGAATTCTTCTACTATCTTTATTTACCTTTATTATTATTATGTCTTATTTATTATCAAATGCTTATCTCTGCACAAGAGCAAATTATCAAATTTGAAATGGAAATGGAAATTTTAGTCTTTTTCTTCAGTTATCATTTAGCCCCCAATTTGTTCTGATTCACATTCAATTGTTTATTTTTATTATTATTGTTAAGAAAACGAGAGTTTGAAGAAGATCTTACAGATTATGATGAACATGCCGGGAATGACGGACAAAATTCCAAGAATGTGGATGTGGTTCCATACATATGTTAATGATGTCATTTGGGTTAAGCCATGGCATATCACAGATGCTGGAAGTAAATTTATTAGTTGTGTTTGTGTTTCAAGCCTTTGTTATCTAGCTATGGTATGGTCCTGCTTCGTAGTAGCAGCCATGGGAGTGATTCTGGAAGCTGTTCGTTATGTTCGATGGGTTGTTCATGTAGAAGGCGATTCAATGAGAAAGTAGCTAAGGTTTATGTTATTCACTTCTGATTGATTTCATTACAGCTGGTACGATCATTTACTAGACGAACATCATTTGGCTGAGTCATGTCTTTATGTTTTTCAAGTAGCTCTAGGTTATTGTTTAATGCTGTGTTTCATGACATTCTCTGTATGGATATGCACATCATTATGTATAGGATTAGCTCTTGGCCATTTTCTTTTTGGAGCAAGAGAATTCAAAAAATAATACTATTTTCATAATGTATCCATAATTGTAATAAAAATTCAAAATCAAAGTAAAATTCTTGCTGAACTATATGAGATCATAAACAAATTGAAGTTTTTCATTTTCAAACTGACGAGAGTGAAGTGCGGTTAGTTTCCACTTTTAGGACATGGGTGAAAGTTCACAGCTTGTAGTGAAAGCTGAACTTCCAAACAAAGAATTGGAATGCACACCAAGGTTCTAACTCAGATTTTTCTCCTCACTTATTCAGCTCAGTAGATGGGTAATTTTTCCCAAGAGTCAGTATACTGAAACAAAGAGATGTGATATACAAATCACAAACTTAGAAGACAATCAGTTAGCTTGGAGCATCAAACAGAAAGACGGACTCTTTAGAATTTCTAAGAACAGAGGTGTACTCGGTCCTAAAGAAACTAAACTGTTAAAGGTAGTTTTACGTCTTAAATAAATTCAACGTTTAAGAAATCAGATTTATTTACAACCGCACACCGAATGGCCCCAACGACGAAGTAAATTGATAAAGCAAGCTTTGAAAATATGCTTTGTAACATCGATGCTAACGGAAACAGTTGAGATTGAGGTGTTGAACCCTATCTTTCCAGAATAAAATATGTTTTTAAGAACGAAGATGAGCTTGCTGCTTCAGTTTTTCAAGAAACTCATAAAGACTTTCATTATTGTACTAAAATTAGAGCTGTCCTTCTCTAGTTGTCTGACGAGGAAATGAAGTTTGAAATATAAATAGGATTCGAATAACTTTGATAACGAAGTGTAGGAGGGTAGCTGTCATCAACTGATGTGAACGTTTGAATATTGGATTAATCAACTAATGTGCCCATGAGAAAGACTTGCATGACAAAACGTCTGATATCTCTGATGATTCGTATGTAGGCGAACGAATGAAAAATCATAATTGAGCCACTATGAGTAAGCATCAAAGTAATTATTTATTTTGCTAAAAGATCATTTTCATATAATTAGTTAAAGCATTCAAAATATGTCTTCCACTTCTAAGTTAGGATTCGAAATATCGAATATTTCAAAGTCTTCTCTATAAATCTCCATCAAGCTTCTTAACAACATTGTGTTGTTTTTGAAATTGTCTATCACTTCTCTCCTTAAACCGTTTTCTTCGGTAGACATCTCATCGTTGAAGTTCTCTTAAAAAAACAAGAAAAATAAGTTTTCTAGCTTTCGAACCTCTCAGAGTTTTCTTGATGAAGTCAACTTTCTCCTGCGGCACTTCCGAATTTAAAAGAATATCTGCTACGTCACCTAAGTATGACGACCTCTCTCTATGATCAATTGGGAACTTAACGAAGTAGGCTTGCTTGTAGATGTTCGGCATATTACAATACCTAAACAAGTAAAGAATGAATATTCTTCAACTAGTGTGATTCAGAAGCTTGCCATGTGAGAGGTGCCATAGACATTAAAGTTTGAGTATCAGCATGACGCTCAGTTTCATTGACTGAACTTTTGAGTTGGTTTACCACGCACTCAAGCTCTCCCGGATTACAACCGAAGCAAGCATTCTCAGAAGAGTCTGTTTTTCTGAAACACTTTGTTTCTGTTCTTAAATATTTCGAAGCAGAAAAAAACTGACTTGATACAATTGGCTAGATAAGCGTTCAGAAAGCGTGAGAGAGGATTCTGCACGAACACTGTCACATTATATTTGAAATGAACATTCTTTATCATTTCATTAAAAGATCGGACCCGTAAGTTTGAACACATTCTGAAAATAAAATGCAGTATATTTGTGTTTATGTTTTTCCATCGAAGGGAGTTCATTACGTGTTCGGCTGCAAGAATGTTGAATTGCGTGCTATAAATTCATCCGAATCATATAAATAGCAGAATATGTTTTTCATTATTATTGATATATCGTCAGAAATCTCACAATGAACAAGCTTGTAAGCTGGAACAATCTAAGACGATAAATTGAATTGGAGAAGCTTTGATGAACTAACATTGAATGTTTCCGAGATGTTCCCGAAATGCGGAGAAGAAGCTGAAAACAGAAATGCATTTTAACAAAACTAAAATGCCTCAACAACAACCATTATAACGCTCAATGTTCGATCGGACTGTTTGAGAATATAATAATATTTTGCTAATTGTTGAATTATTTGAATTCTGTTGAGTTTTTTGAAAGGATTCATAACCTATGAGTATGAGAGAAGCCATAATTAAAAGAATACTTATAATAGAATATAAAAATAATAATCTCTTCTGCGACATTGATATGGATGAAGATGGTATAGTTGGCTTTGATGATTGAGCTAGGAATTTCCGCTTATGATGATCTAATGACGTCATCATTAAATCTGAAGTAGACGGTGCAGACACTGAGCGGATAAGCATTTGACACCAACTGAATCTTGAAGTCTTAGAAACCGAATTGCAAGACATTCACTGTAAAACAGAATTCTCTCATTGCTTTCGTCTAAAAACTTAAAATAGCTATGTCAAATCCTATGCGAAAGACCTTATCGTTTCGATCGAGGACATACCCTAGGCGATCAAGATTACCCTTTCATGGACCAAAATTTCCACGCATTGAGTTTGATTTCAAAAATTGCCACATTGAAAGATCTTTTTTCATTGTATGTGCAGTTAGGAAACCTTTTCTGTTCCCTTTCCCTCTCTTGCTGCAACATTACAAAAACAGCAATTTGATTAGAGAATGAAATAAAATGAATTTCTTTCATTATATGTGTACCTGTAGAATTTTTATATTTAACACACAAAATAGTAAAAGGAACATAACATGGATGACAAAAGTGATTTTGGCAGGTCCCTTTTCACGTGGATGGCATATGTAGATTCACGTGGACAGTATACGTGCATAGAGAACACATATTCCCACTAAACATCATTCATGTTTTTTGGTGAGGTGATGAACGGCTGATTGCAAGAAGAACAAGGAAGGCAAAATAAACAAGAATATTCTTTTTATGGTTCGAGAAAGCTTTTTGGCGATGAATACTACTTCTATCTTGTTTTTCAAAGTTATAAATGTTTATAACTTCGAAATATTCTTTATTTTCCCTCGCTATTTTTGTTTCTCTCTTTGCTCCCTTTTTTTTTCTATTGAAATAATTTTCTTATTTCTCAATCAATTCTCTTTTCTACGCCCCATGTAAGCAAAGCGTTACCACGGAAACTCTCAAGTTATAATCGGTGTGTCCTGCTGAATGTTATTTCACTAAAAATTTTAAGATAATGTTTCACAAGTTTTAGATAAATTCTACTTTACAGTAATCCTATGGAGTATATGGAAATAGAAAAGAGTGAAGGTGCAGTCGATGATGACTCCGTCTGGATGTCTGCCTCAAGTTTCACCATATTTACAATGACAGCAGGTTCTTGAATTGTATCATTAACTTTTTTCATACAAAAGTGTTGAAGGCTTTGGATTATTAGAGAGTGGAAGAGTTGCTTCGAAAGATGAGGTTAATGTTATGGTCAAAAATGTCATCGATATGATATTCGGAGGTTGTTTTGGTCGTTCTTTTGTTCATTGTTATTTTAATTCTCTCAGGATTGGCGTATTGGATGTTTGGCTTCGGGTTTACATTCGGATCAGCTGAAGCTTGCCCATATTTAGGAATTGGAGATTATTTCTTCGATCCTGAGAGAAATGGTCAATCTTCATTGCATTTGGTAAAATAGCAGAGTGTTATTATACGAGACAGCAAAAAAAGCTAATTTAGAAAGGAGAATCATATGCTCTATTCTTATTTCAAATGAGCTTTGCTACCACAACAGCTACAATCGTATCGGGTAATCTCAATATTCATATTCAATCATCCGAAAATTCATTTTTGTTGTAGCTGGAATGTCCGAACGTGTTCATCTGAAATCACATTGTTTCGTTAGTTTTTTTGTTACGTTAATACATTCTGTTGCGGGACACTGGATCTGGGCTGACGATGGCATTTTTCGGACAATGGGCGTAGTCGATTCCGCTGGTTGCAGTGCTGTAAGATAAAATCTCTACGAAAAGGAAGATACAAATGACATTTTAGGTACATTTGGTAGGAGGAATAGCGGGTATGATAGGTACATTGTATCTTGGGCCGAGGCAAAATCGTTTCAAACAACCTAAACACATTAGTGACCCTACTAAATCCATCTTAGGTTTTTTGACTGAAACCAAGTGATCTCATCTCGATTATTTTGAAGGTTTAACAATGATTTGGTGGGGTTGGTTGGCTTTCAACACTTCCTCCAACTATTCAGTTTCCAATAAGCAGTGGACTGAAGGAATAAGGTTTTTTCTACTCAACAAAGTTTTTTTTGAAAATCGAAACGTTTCAAGATCCGCTGTCGGTACGGTCTTAGCTTCAGCTGGCGGAGGGATTGTGGCCCTCATCATAACGCGGGTACAATCTGGACTCGAAAAACCATGGAATAACTTCTTTTTTAGGTTTCAGTGAAAAAGATTCAGATCGATATGCTCATTGATGGATTATTGGCTTCATTAGTTTCTAGTACAGGTGAATACGAAATAATTATATAGATGCAATACGTAATGTCTTCTAAGCTGGATGTCTGTTCTATTCTCCTTGGCAGGCAACCGTAGTTGGCTCAGTTGGAGCTGCATTGGCTCTATTCATGTACCCTGTGCTAGAATATTTTCATGTCGGTTTCTCCACTCCTTTTCATCTCAAACAAATAATTATTTAATGATGTGTTTATAAACAAGATGTCAAAGAAAACACAAAAAACGAAAGATCAGTGAAATTATTGTTCAGATCGATGACCCAGTTGGTGTGATTCCAGTTCATGTTGTTGGATCTATATGGGGAATGTTGGCACCGGCTTTTTTCTTGAATTCCGATTTTGGATTAGAATCGCATAATGTAAGTCAGAAATATTGAAAGGAAAGGGTAAATAATGAGGGAGGAGATAAGATATTTTCTGAAAAGTACAAGTGAATGAGAGGATAACAAGTCTTTCAATATTCTGGGACTTTACCAGTTCGATAACGCTGGAACAACGAAGTTTAAAAATCAGCTCAAATAGAACAAAGCTTTAAGAAATAGGAGAAAAGTCAGTCACCCGAAAAAAATATCCAAAAAGTTCAATTGATTCCCAAGTGTGAAAAGCTGGAGCTTTACCTTACAACGCCACATGATGACGTCACATGCATCAACTCGGGCTTGTCTGATCCAGAATGAATTATGGATAATGTATAATGAACTGAATGATAAAGTATATTGGAAAATGACTCTAGACTAATGCGATCGAAGGAAAAAGCTCCTTCCCTTTCAAACTTTTTTATTCCTTGATGGACTATGGAAAGAATAAAGCTGCGGGACATCTCATTTAATTTTCAATTCTTCTTTCGTATTAAAAAAAAATCGAATAACCAAAGAATTTCTGAAAATGTTTTGATTCTCTTAGTACTGCATCATCTTCAAAGGTCAAGCTGTTTCAGTATTCACAATTTAAAAAAAAATTTTTTTCCTCAGTTTAATTCATTTCTTGCGGTTTGTCCCACACTAGGTTGACTAACTCTCTGTTTCCGTCATTTCATTAGGCTTCTGGCTGTTTTTAGACGTAATGTTTTGCTTATATGCAAACGTAGTAGTATGTTATGCAGTTTTTTCTTTTTTTCCTTTTCTCTCTTCCTTTTACTATTTTACATATTCGTATGTCTGATGTCTCTTCTATCTTTGCAATCACTTTGACGTCTCTCTTCCCTTCACTCCCTTCCATTCCTATTTTTTACTTTCTCTTCCTCTTTTCAGATGATTTCCAATACACTAGTCAATTTAAATTTGAAAAAGACGTATTCATCCAAAATTATCTAGAGAGAAGAGGCGAATTCAAAAAAAAAACTCGAATACGAAGAATGTCACATGGGAATGAGCAGCTTATATTATTTGTTTCGTAGGTCACAAACATGGACAACCTCTCTGGTCTTTTCTACGGAGGAGGAATTAAGTTGTTGGCACGTCAAGGCTTGGCCATGATTTGTATAGCAGCCTTCTCCGCATGTTCAGCTTTCATAATTCTATTTGTAAGGTTTTTTCTTTCCTCACAATTTTCATTATGAGCCGATGAAAGGAACATTTTTTGAAGAGCAACTTAGGCTAGAAGGCCATAAGCTGAAGATCGATTTCGTGATGTTTTTCTGTTTCAGACCCTTCAACATTCGCCTGTAGGATTAAGATTAACACACTATGAAGAAGAGATGGGAGCTGATCTTCGAGAACACGGCTTGGCCGGTGTTAACATACAGCAATATACTGAAGAAAAAAAATTAACTACAGAGTATGTGGTTTTAAAAGACGCATAATTTAATTCCTGTTTAATTCCTTAAGAACTCTCAGTGCTGTTCTTATCATGGTCGTTCGATGGAAAATGAAGGCAAGGGTTGGTGCCGAAAGACGACGACGACTCCAACAGCTCGCAAACAAGAATGCAATACATCCAGCAGAGCAATCTTTCTCTTCGGCTCTTCCGATTTCTGACGGAATGCTAATAGTTCGGCGGAGGCATAGCCAAGGACAGATTGAGCCCATGCATGCTTCGGAAGCATGACTAGATAGAAAACAACTAACACGACGGGTTAAAAACAAATAGTATAAATTACTTTTTATTCATATCTTTACCACACACTTGAATCGCGGAACATGGTCATCAATGAACTTAATAAATACCGTAACAAAGTCGAAATTCGATAGAAAATGAAAATTGTGCGGCATACATAAAAGATCAGCATTCTATACAAGAAAGTCATGAAAAGAATGATTTTGGGAGTAGATTCCCCGGATTTAAAAAGTTACTTAGATTTTCCCTTTGAGGGTGTCTAAACAGAATAGTGCCTATCCTACTTACTAAATAGACAAAGATAAAATAGAACGATTGATGACGTCAAATACATAAAAAAGGACAGAAGTCCACTAAAGTATTGCATACAAGACACAAGCGTTTTCTCGGAGAGAAAACTTGCCTGGCTCTTGTTTCTAACAATTATTTACAATGTTAAAAAGAAAACGTTAGTTTTACGATAACACACAAATGAGTGATGTTATCATTGGCCTATTATTGGATGGATACGGTAATACCAGACCCACAAATCAAGACTACCAAAGAGAAAGCACGAATATCGAGAATCAGAATAGAAAGTCATTAATTAGTAGAAAAATCGATACGGGTATTATAAATTATGCTGATATTACAGAAATGATTGTACAACCAGTGTTACAGGAATTTCAATATTTCAAACTTGCGCCACATCATAGTGGGTGAAAACTCTGAGCAACTTTGTATGTAGAGGCGTTGTTTTACATCGAGTTTCCTATACATTCATTGAACTTTTAAAGTTTGAATGCGTAGGAGAGGTTATTAACAGGAAACCAGATCTTAGAATTTACAGTCTGTCTCTGAACCCACATCGTCGCGACGAGGAGGGTTTGGAAGCCTCCTTCGAAGCCATTGATGCTTTAGGGCCTGTTGAGGAGTCATTCTTGTTTCTGGGTCCCAATCCAAACATCTTTTCAAAAAATCAATAAATAAGTCGTCACCCTACAATGAAAAATGTAATATAAGACTATTAGACGACTAATACCATATTTTTGAGGGCTGTATTCCAGCTTCTAGAAGCAGGTGGTCCTCTCATTTTTCCTCGCTTCGAGCGCGCCCCTGTTAATACAATCGAGTTATCGGGCATCTGTGTGACAGTGCAATATCGGGGGTATCCCTGAAGAAAACATAATGGTAACTGATCAAACTCCCAAAAATGCAACCTTAGAGGAGATAAATGTTCGGGCGCGTTTGGCCTGGTCTATACACTTTGCAGGAGGCATTCCATTCAATTCCATAATCAGCGCTAACTGAAAAAGAAAGAATTTTTCAATGGTTTCAAATAAGTGGAATTAAATTCAGATTAATAAACGTACTTGATCGCCTTCATCCTCACCAGGAAGTAAGGGGTAGCCTGTTAGTAGTTCGGCTAAAATACAACCAAGGGACCACATATCAATTGGCATTCCATACTTAGCACCAAGTATAACTTAAGTTCGACAATGAATTTCAGAGTATGAATACAACAAACCTTCTGGAGCACGATAGAAACGCGATTGAATATATGTGTAAATCCGTTGATCTACAAAACATGACGAACCAAAGTCTATGACCTTAAAAGATGAATATAGTTTATGACTTTTTGAACAAAACATACTTTAATTCCGCTTCGCCCTTGCTGCTTAAGTAAAACGTTCTCGGGCTTGAGATCACAGTGAATTAAGTTATTTTTATTTAATAAATCCAGACACAGTAACATAGAGTAAGCGAACTTCCGTACCAACTGAAATAAGATGAGAGTTATTGAGAGGAGAAAGCACAACATACCATTAGGCTAAAGCCTTGAAATTTGTTCTTCTTTATAAGCTCATATAGGTTTATATTTAATAATTCGAATGTAATACATTTATGATTACGAAAAGTGAAAAAATCCAACATATGAATTATATTATGACCTCCATCGGCATCTTGACGACGTAAGTGATCCTAAAATAATATTTAATGGCATGTAAAGGATCTAAAACATACAAGTATCCTGATTTCTTCATCAGCTTGTCGGTGGAATCTCTTTTCATTTCTGACTAGCTTAAGAGCGACATATTGTTGATATTTGTGATCATAAGCTTTAATAACCTGGGAAAGAAAGATTTAATTCGAAAGTGTCGCATGACTTACTTGTCCGAAAGATCCTTTTCCTATTACTTTAAGGATTTCATAACGATATGCTATATGATCATGAGCCACTAATTGATAACTACCAGTTTCATCATCATACCCATAGTTATTAGGACCGCCTGAACCATCGTGGATAGAGATCAAAACTATCAAAGTAATAAATACCTATTATTCCACCACGCTTCTTCGCCTGAGATCCAACAAAATAAACCCGCATATAGTTATATATTTCGGTCTGCTCATACGGCATCAGTTTGGCACCAAATGTTTGAATGGCGTCATCAGGTTTGAAACCCTAAATATAAAGAACGTCGAAGGAGAGGAGAACTACAAACATACCTTGTTACCACCTCCTGTAGAATTATTGCCCGTACTATTAGAGTTGTGGCCACCGTTACTACCACCAGAAGAAGAGGTATGCGACCTAAAACTGTACTCTCAGTAACACATGATAACATGGATATTTGCTTTTAGCTAACAAAACAAACCTTAACGATTCATCACTAGGGCTTTTTGTCATTTTTATTCTCTGATCGGGTAAGGATGACAGTGCTGAAACAGAAGCCGAAAGGTGCTTAGCACCGATCGACGTTCCACCTGAGGACGACGAAACTGAAGAGCCTGCAAACAACAACAGTAAATAAGTAATATTACGCCTTTTAAAGAAGAAAAATAAACGATTGAAGCCCAGCACATGTGACAGTCATGTATCAAAATCAATAAGTCTCAAATCAAGAACAACACTAATAATGCTCGTATGTTCACAGACTGTGAAAGCGAAAACAAAAGGGATTTTACGAATCCATGTTGCCATTAGATACGCGCACCCCCTCACAAATGAAAATGGAGCTCAAGTTTTAAAACAAATTAAGGACTGAAATTAATACTAAGTGTATTAAGATTAGCTATAGTCACGAGCTCTTCCTATTAATCAAGAGAAGATTCCAGATAAAGCTGTATATGCTCGAAACCCAGCTAAGTACAATCAATGATACTTCGAAACTAAATATTACTACGAATATATGGTTTCATGTTTTTTTAAAATATATATGCTAATGAGCAAATTAATGCTCTGACGTTAGCCAAATTAGCTTCATGAACTAATCTAATGTTCATGCCAACCCATATAATAAAACGTCCAGGACTGGCCAGAAGGCAATCGATGGAGTAGTCGAACGTGCATACATAGAGGAAAGCAGATCGAATTGTCGCTGGAGGCATTAGACTGGGGCTCCACCCAACCAGGAATACTCGGAACTCGAGAAACAAGATTACTATCACACTTTTAGCGTTTCTCAACGTATTTTCAAAAAAAGTGAACTTACATAAGTTAACTAACATTGTGAAAAATTTGAAAAAAGAGAAAAAAGTAAATACTCACCGATCGCACTGCTGCTGGCTGTGGATGGCAGATTTGCAGAACTATCAGCCGTTGTCGGTGCTGGGCGCATAGGCGTTAAAACGTCGATCATGGTCTTAGATGGACGAAGAAGTGAGGAATTATTCGACGACGGTACCGCAGAATAATCTATAAAAACAACGTTAAGTAAATTAAAAAAAAAAACTTTTTGGGTGCAAGATGATAAGTTAGAAGGAAGAAAAAATAAAACAAGAAAACGATGAAAAAGCAAGTATTGAATGAGCGCATAGAGGAATGAAATACGTAGAGCCTATTCCTTGAAGAGCATTTGGACTTCGTTCTTCCTTTTTATTCCCGAAGTGCATATGGAGAGCAAGTTGAGGGCAGGGATAAAATCATTTCAATTACAAATCTAAATAATAGTTGAACTTTCAGAGGAAATTCAAGCTGTACATACAGAACTTTGTAATGAGTAAGAAAAATCATAAGGAATTAGATTATACAAACATTGTATAACAAATAAACAGGTTTTCTTGATAATATGAAATGAAGCTGTAAGTATGTGTCAAAAAATGGTGCAACAATAGAGAAATGTGACTTAAACAACAATCCTAAATGCTTTTAGATGTGAAAAGAGGCCAATATCGATCGACTATATAAAAGAAGTCCCCGTTCCTAATTATGGCAAGATGAGTGGATATACACATGGTCAACCACATACACATAGATATAAACAAAATAATTTTGCTACAGAATTCGTTTACTTTCAGCGATATCTAGAAGCAAAAACTAGCCCAGTTGGGAGGAAACTCGATCGTGCACAACGAGCACTCTGTGTACAGCATTAAGTTAGAAAGATCAAAGAAGTCACTTTCTAACTATTAGCTAGCGATCAATTGCAGAACATATCGTTGTCAAATTGCGCGTTTTAAAAATTAAAAACTTTGGGGATAAGTAAACAAGCTATTCTAGAACTTTCACACTCTAAAAAATAAATTTAGTTTAAAATAACTAGAAAATAACATGAATATGAAAAAAGAAGTATAGTGTGCCGAAGTAAAGCCAAAGTGCGCATAATAGAAAGAGGCAGCACTGAATGACCAGTGCGAGAGAAGAGGGCAATCGATAATGCCTCCAGTGGCCAAATAGAGAGGAGCAGGGACGACAGATGGCAAACTGAGGTCAGCTCTCAGCACCCAGCATTGCCAGGACAACAACAAGAAATTTAGTTCCTTTTGTAAAGGTAGTTTTATCTTATATGGAAGATAAGCTGCACAGTTAAACAAATACTGTATGAAGCCTTGGGCGTGTAAAAACCGAACAGCCCAATAAATAAAAGGATTGCAGAAAGAAAAGTAATTGGGATTCAATTTTCAAACTGTATGATAGATAAAATAAAAAGATGAAGAGAAGCATTACGCTATGACAATCATTAGAAAACTGACAGGTCATCATTAGCCAATAATCCAACAGGTTCTTCGAATCAAGCATGACCAAAAGTCTTACTAAGAGAACTTTTTGACAAGCAATTGAACTCGTATTAAGTAACAAGTTATGGAGTCGAAAACCTTTTCGCTGGAAGCAGATATATAGGACATCATCACCTTGAGCGGAACTTTTTCATCCATTCAAATGATGGCTAGAAAAGAGGTGTGGGGGTGTGAGCGTTATTTCCAAGGACGTTCCTGAGACGAAGCAAGGCACGCGAGAAAAATCCTTAGGGCTACATTGATAAAACACACAAAAATCAATTAAATACAGGATTTATAGAAGATGGGATAAAAGGTAAAGAAATTATGTCGTACGAAAACCGAAAATAACAATGAGGGCTATGGAAGAACGAAAAACAATGCTTAGATATTATCGATTTTAGAACCCACCCTTTTTGGAACATGCAAGCATACAAGGCGCAGCAAATCGATGAGGGAATTTTACTGCGAAAATCGATGAAGTGTAAAAGAAAGTAGCAGATACTTGAAAAGATGTGAGACACATAAGTGAGAGAGCAATATATATATTTTAAAAAAAAACTTGCCGTTCACAGTATCCATTGAAGGATAACAAAAAATTAGATAGTCGATAAAGATATTGAACAAATGGAACGAGGCGTGATAATATGAAGCAAATGGAATGGAAGATGAGTTTGGCTAGACAGCTTTCGTTGTCAAGACAACAGCCCTCCCCTTGGGCGACGAAGAGGGATAATTAGATAAATTAAAAAAAGAAAAAAGGGAATGAGAAGAGTAGATGATGGTATGAAACAATAAAAAAAAGCTTACTTCTGTCGAATTGTGGAAACTGCGTGTAATGTAAAGAGTTTCGCGAAGAACCGGCTTGATTAGCCTGAGAACGACTAGAATGAAGAGCCTGAAATCAAAATTTGATCTACACAGTAAAATTAAAGAGCAAAGACAAGTAAAGTGTAAGTTCAAGACATACCTGAATTAAAGATGAGCTTGAGTGCGAATGTGTAGGGTTAGAACAATGCGAAGAACCAAGATTTGGTAAACCTAGCTGCCGCACTAGTGATGGCGCACACGGTGAATCGCTGAAAAAATCAGATTTAAAATTTTGAAATGCAAATGCAAACAGTTAAAGAAACAAAGAAAGAGAGAAAAAAGTGGAAATGTTACAGAATGACCAGTAAATTTCACGTAATCATAATATGAATATAAAAAGGGTTAGAAATAAAATGTGTTATATTTTTCCAACAGCGTAAACTATAGTCATAAATGCAAACATAATATCGAGACCCCGACTAAATAGAACGAGAGCCGCCTGACCAGCAAGATAGTGGAGAACAAGGATAGAAGATAGAGAGAGCGAAAGCTATTGCTTTACATACGAATGAAATAGTGAGCAGCTCCAACATTTTCAATTAACAGACCACTCAACATGAACATGAAACAATACAATACAGCTTTAGAAAGACAGATATGAAAAAATATAGATTTCGTTATTCTTGGTAACAGCTTAGTACAAACAAAGCTGCAAATACGCTGGAACATGTTTCAAAAAAGATGAGAGAGCGTAAGTCAGAGAAAAAAGAAAGCTGAGCTCTTCAGTCAGAAGACAAGTAGTATAATAAGAAGCTGTCTATACTGCACTGGGATTGAAAAAATTGAACGTAAGATAGTCTGGAGCTATCAAGATAAGAGAACCATGCTAGGAACTGATAACATTATCGAAAACCAGAAAAAAGCAACAGCAGAATCAGAAAATATACTTACATAATAAACCTGTTTAGGCAGGTAAGCTATATCAACCCCTAATAGGATTTAAAGCAGGCAAAGAATCTCCCCCATAGGACACTGACAAATAAAAAAGTAAATGTTCAGCTTCAAAAGTTTGATGACCTGGTAGTAATGTACGCTCGAGTTTCCAAGAGCCAACAAACATATGGTCGTTCTACGTGGCAGTTTACAATGCTAGGAAGAAAGAGAAACTCCATGGAATCATTTAAAAATAAACTTTAGAGGTATTGTTAAGTTATCATAGGAAAAATTTTTTAAAGAGCCATTAAGATTGAATGTCCACGAACACAGCACTTAGTGTTGGTAGCTGAACAGAATAGAGAAAGTGTTCGGGGAGTGTGGAAAACGAAGAAAACAAACAATTAAACCAGTCTTGACCTTGATTCCGGACGGAAGCCCTCCGGAAAAGGAAAACAACAAGAAATATCGTCATCACCAAGACCGGAAAGCTTAGCAAGCATAGCGCTCACAGGCACTCCTAGACAAATTTTGAGAAGTGGACAACGCGAAAATCGCCTAGGTGGGGCTTAAGAATGACGAAAGAACCAAAGGTTCAAGTAGAAAGAAAACCACTGAACAGATTTTACGTACTTCGAAGTACCCCTCGTTGGCCACTCGTGGTTACAACCGATTGGAGCAAAGTTTGAACTCTCAAATGCAGTATGGATCAATTGTCTGGGCTTCGATGAGGACGGCTGTTCATTTTGCAGCGTCATATTCATCTAAACTATGCTGACACACATTAGCTGCCAATCAGTTCACTCGATTAACAATTGGAAACTATGATAATAATTCGTAATTTTCCAATCTTCGAGGAGCAGTAGCCAGGAGTACAGACGATAAATAAGTAGTAGCAAAAGTAATACCAACGAGCAGAAAATAAGCAATAAAAATACGGAGTGCTCCTAAATTTCACAATTATAGCTAAACATAGACAAAAAACTGAATCGATACCTCTGTTTGAAAACAATTTGCGAACAAAACAAGTCTTGTTCATCAAACATGAGAGTTAAACTCAATGATTTTCAGAGTGTGAATAAAACATTAACTTCACTCATATAAGTAGTCATTAGTGGAAAACAGCATAGATTCTATGCTTGATATATAGCACAACAAATCGGAAGAAGTCCAGGATAACATCGTCATGAGACATATTTGAAAAAATTCTTGCTCAAAACGGAGAACAAACGAAAGCCGAGGCGGAATCGGGAAATGCAGTCTCCGTAAGCAAACTTCCCTTAGAAGAGATGAGATGATGAAACGGCCAACCACACAAGGCTATAGTCCAAAAATAGAAAGAACCATAAGAGATTGAAAATAGACAACTGTATACACAGTCTCACCAAGAGCGCATTTCGTAGAACGGGCCAAAGAAAAAGAAAGCAAAGCAAAACTAGCAGGAACAGGCAGGAAGAGCCTTCAAGCCTCAGCTCACGAGGGTAATAATCTAGCGCTTCAAACAAAAAATGGAAAGCATGCAGGTAAAAAGGACCGCGCTGTGAAACGGGAATAAGGAATAGAAAAAGACTGCTAGCTCAAACTAACTCACTTGTTTCTAAGCTCAGTGCCATTTTTTTCCCGTGGTTGAGTTGTGGTTCCATTGATGGGTTGTTGTCCGTAAGTTCGGCTGTTACGAGAGAAAGAGGCCAGAGCGGCCATATCAAAACTAGGCAACAATTCTTAACTTTTTTTTAATATTAACCGTATCCAAAAGGCCGACTATGTGAACCTGGAAAAATAATTAAACATAGAATTGGAAAAATAAAACAGAGGAACAGAAAAGAAATCTAGTTAAGAGAGTATTACATTGAATATTTGTAATTCGCGCCAAATAACCCAAAAAAGAAACGGTAGAATGACAGTGTAAAAACAGTACAAGTGCAAGAATAACCTCCATACATGGAAGGAAGCAAAATATAAGTTAGAAAGTAGGAAGAGCGAAAAAGAAAGCTTTGAAAGAAAATTGGATTAAGTCGAAAGAAACCAAAAGTATGAAACGTTATTTTGAAAACTTTCGAGGAAGAAGATAGAAAAAACCACATAAAATAAGAGAACAGGAGAAATGGGAAAAAATAGTCCTCGTCGGGTACAACCGCACGTGGAACGCGATGAAATCAAAATGAGATCTGGCGTTCCTCGCAATTAGAATACCAAAATTGCGGGAATTCGAATCGATATTGGAGATTTGAAACTTTATGCAAATTCGAATTACGTGTTTCCAAAACTTGGGTGATATGATGGAAATTAAAGGGAGGAGTAGGAGAGGAGAGAAAGAAATAGTAAATTGTGATCATTATCTTGTTTAAAATGGTGACCTTGGCTGACATGTCCCTGTTTTGAAATCTCAATGCTCAACTGAAGAAAAAGAAAAATAGTTGAAAAAGCTGATTTCGTCTTCGTCTTCTGCTAGTTACCGCCGAAATTTCTGAGAAAACAGTAGAAGAGGAAAAAAACAAGTCAATTTTCTCACGAATTGTATAAATTACCTTTATATTATGAAGTCAAAGCTATTATCAGCAAGTATGTTTGAAGTAGATATTTTGTCTTTCGCGAACCAAAACGAAAGGGAATTTACTTAGGATTTGGGATGAATCAGCTGTGTCTTTTATGATCATAAAGAATTTTCTATTTCAGGAAGTTGAACGACACATCAACTGATATGCTTTGTGTTTTTTCTCGGACAAAATAAACAAAGAAGAAAGGATGAAAGGGACATCAATGAAAAGAAAGACAAAAATTATGAAAGGGAGAGGTTTTAAACGTCATAATTTCTGTCCAAATTATCAGGTTGGCCATGAATGCAGCATATAGAATTGAATGTGAAATCCAAGTTCCAAACAGAAGGAAGCCCCTTAGGAACGATAAGTGGAAAGCAAAGCGATATTGGCGAAGAAAAAAAGAAGTGATGTTCATATTTTCCAATAAAATAAGCTTAATTGATGTGAATAAATGACTTGAATAGGTAAGAAGCTCCTTCAAGCAGACTGAAGTCCGGTTTCAAATCCTTCGCAGCTTTTCTCTTTCATTCATCTATTATCATCAACTTCTTATGGTGATGGTATGAAATGAACAGAACTGGAGGTCATCGTTTTCATCAGGAAACCTCTTTTATCATTAGAAATCTAACTTCAAGTAGGAAATTTCAGAAAAAATAATTCAAAAACGGCTGATAACGATGAGAGATGTACCAACCATTTCGTCAAGTTTGGCCAAACTTGATCCAAAGAATGTTTTGTTGCGAAAAAAGGAAGACGGGAGGACGCAAATGCCTCCAAGATAGAAACTTGAAGTTTTTTATTCGTCAACAAATTGCCATAAATGGCAGAAGCGAAACTATCGTTTTCATTACTTCATAATTGGCTTTTATCGTGTTCTTTCTTCACTTTCTAGTTAACATTAGTAATGCAAGGCACAAAAAACTAGCAAATCATTATGGAATCAAAGAAAAAATGTGAGAGAAAGCAGAAAAAGGAAAGGAAGGCAGGAAGAAATCGCACAAACGGCGGCTGATTAGTCATCCCAAGCCCCTTGGGTCCCGAGTGGATGTGCGCGGCACAGCCAAAATTCAAAATAAAAAAAACGAAGGATTTTATGAAAATATTTAAATGTTAGATGATTAAGAAAAAGAAGAAGAAGAAGAAGAAGGAAAAACTCGTAACAAAAACATGAATCTCCTTTACTCCTAAACACATAAATAAGGAGAAAAAGGGCATCGAAATGAACTATTTTATGATAAATAAATGGGCTGAAGAAGTGAAAAAAAACAAATTTTTATAACAAAAAATGATTGAAACAAGAGAGAAGGAAAGAAGCAAAAATATTTTTATCAGATAGAGGGAGAGAGGGAGAGGAGGAGAGAGCAAGAGAAAGAGATGGAAAAAGAAAAAGAGAGAAAGCGAGAAAAGAAAGTTTATCTTGAAACAATCTACATCGTTAAAAATAAAATGATAATTTCTATAAAAATTTGATTAATGGATGAGGAAGGAAGGACAACACGACAAGGTGGCGTAGGTGACTTCATCCAAAAAGGAGGGGGGAATGTTCAAAAATGCATTAAGAAATATTCAAAATGATAATGCTTTAAAAGGAATTTTGCGAAGAAAGCTTTCCTGGCCATTTGATAAGCAAAATATAAAATAAATCGGCAAAACAAGGAACTTTTAAGGGATTAAACTTCAAAAAATGCAATACGAATCGTATCGTAAAGATCATTTCTAACCCAAATAGAGAAGTGTTGTAGCTTGAGTACTAGAAAATAGATAAAAACCTGTTCTTTTTTTGGCAATAACGTTTTGACGAGGAAGAGAAGGAGGGAAGACGGAGAACAGACGTTGTCTGGAAGGTTTTTTTGAATCTCTTAGAAACGATCCTTCAACATAATTTCTGAAGTGTCTAGTTATAATTGGTGGACGAGGAATAGCTTGGGATGTATTGATGAGGCAGAAATCGACATTTCGTGAGTCTTCAGAGACAAATATTTTTGGCAAATCCGCCAAAAAATGGGTTTGGAAGATAAGAAAAATGGGAACGAGGTTACATCGAAGATCTAACTGAGGCAAAATGAGAGAGTGAGAGAGAGGGGGAAGCCTTACAGACGTGTTGAAACTTTTAAAGGAGAAAAAGAAGTCTCCGTTTCAGGAAAAAAAACATTAAAATAGTTTTGATTGATCATAAAAGACTGACGAGATCAATAAATGGATGGTCCGAAAGGGATTTATGAGTATAAAGAGTTATCGATTAATTTTTAAGAATGGTTCTTTTCACCACTAACGAGAAAAGCCTTTGGCATTCCAGATGAAAGAAACAGAACAAACCATTATTTGCAAATGTGTAAGAGACAGATGGAATATCTCAGTCTACTAAAGAATAAAAACTGACAATTGGGTAGAGAAATTGAAAGAAAAAAAAAGATACGAAATGACAGACATAAGGAAAGAGCCTTTCTTTGGTCCAAATCATGAATTCTGACAGGTAAATGAAACTTCCTTCTCTCTCTTATGTAATTAATATTCTAAAAATCAATCTTTTTTGAGTCCTTTTTCGCTCTCGTTTAAAGAATGTACGCACTGACTCCCTGGAGGCATCAAAGTTCCTCACAAGCTCCACCATCTAACGTCTAATGTGATTTGATGATTCGATTCACATGAACTCCTTTTTGGGGGCGAATGTCCCAAAAATGGTTGACTTAAGTCAGAAGTTGCCGTTAAAATTCAAAAGAAACGAAAATCTTAAAAAGAAAAACAGGGAGGTCACAAAGCGCACATAGGAGATATTAACGTGGAAAAGCCAAACAAATGGATTGAAGTCAAACCATTTGTAGTAGAAAGGAGATAATTGAGGGAAACAGTTGTCATAAGATTTTTGCTCAAGCACAAGAAGAAGAAAAAGACGAAGAAGAGCTTTTATTGAAAGTAAACAAAGAAAGAACAAGATGGACAGCAGAGAAAGAAGAGCTTTCTTTTGAAAGAGAAGAAATCTCTTTGACCATAAGGTTCGAAAGACGAACCATTCGAGCTGTGAATTCAAATAAAATACATAAATACGGTGGGAATAATTCCAAGCTTACAAAATCAAGAAAAAGCTTATTGATTGTCGTAAGAATGTGATGAAAAACGTACAAAAACTTTCTTGGAAGGCAACACAACTGTGTCTCATGATTATATATATATTATGAATGGAAGTTATTGTACGAATCAGGCAGATCAATTAAAATAAAGAAAATGATCGTCTGAATAATATATATCCTGTTCCGAATATGGCAAAAACAGGTGACTAAAAATGATCAAAAATTAAATGTTCAATTTCGATGTAATAATTGAAACTTTTTTTTTTACATCAGAAGGTTAGAACTGAAATAGGCAACTCGAAGAAGATGGAGGAACATCCGACGTGACGATACGAAAGTACACACACAATCAAAAATTCACAAAAAAAAAGAGAAAACAGGTGATAAGCTGAGTATGAAAGGCCAAATATTCCATGTTGTATTGATATATTTATAGTAAAATGCATATTGTTAACTAAAAAAAAGTAAAAGATAATAGTGTACGTGGAGAGAGTGAGAGATGATTGTGGGAAAAGACAGACAGATAGTGGCTTGGGAACTGTATAGATTGGTCAATTGGGGAAGGTGGGGCAATCTAGAAGCGAAAGAGAAACAGACAAGACCAGATCATGCAAATGCTGTCCTCTCTCTGTCTTTGACGTCGAAACTCTCTCAATAGTCCATTATGTTTATATAATATGTCTAATGTCTATTTAAATCTGTTTGACCCTTTGCCTTACAAAAGGCCAATCAATCATTTCCATATGATCAGAACGTATAAGAGAAAATATCTCTTTCTCTCATTCTCTATCTCAGTTCGAACTATCATATTCCTACTGAAGAAGCTGTTGGGTACAGAAAAAAACAAAAAAAGTTATAAACAAAATATAAAATGAAAAAGGCATGAAGGACACATTAAAAAGAAAATTCTTCTTTCATGTCATAAAGCCATGTGTTTAACAGATGCTATGCAAATTTATCTAGTCAGTCCAATGAATAAATAAGAAAAAGAAAAGGAACCGTTCACATTCAAGAATAAAAGATAGTTTTGGTCAAAAAAGGGGAGAAAAAGACTACCTCTAAATCAAATATTGATTGACCTCTTAAGGTCATTTGTAAGATGTGACCCTTCTCCGCCCAAATGAACTCTGCATATTCTAATCCCACAACTTCATTCTACTTGCTGATTACAGACAGATCGGTTGTTTTTTTATTTATTTGGAATGTATGCTTTCAAGCCTGAAAGAGAAGGGAGGGAAGATGAGAGAGAAGGTTGATTGGAGGGAAAGAATACTATTTGTTTTTTTCTCCTTTAAAGAAAGCTCAATTTACAGGTTTTAATAGAGTTTCTATGCTAGTGGGATGGTGGGGTTGGGGTTTGCTTTTAAACAATGTGAAAAGAAAAAAAAAGAAGATGATTACTGGTTTCATTTGTTATTGTTTTGTTATTAAAAGAATGACCTCATGAACAGGATTCATATGTGGAGATCCAGAAAAGAAGTTGCTTATTGATTTTTGGGTACAATTATATGAGATTTTTTTTTATGAAAAACAAAATAAAAAATAAAATGAATTCTCATGGAAATTAAAAACTGGTCATCAACAACGTCAGCATCATCATCATAGCACTGCATGAATGCGAAAGGAAGTATGTTTATACGATAAATAAGTGAACGAGTTGAGGTTGAAAGTAAAAGTTTGAACATTATATTTTTTTTGAAAGGAATTGATATATTTGCTGGTCATCTAAGTGTGCTTGACGAAATCATTTTTTAAACCAAATAGAGGAAGGTTTTCATGAGAAAAAAAGTTTTTGATTGCGCGAAACAAAACATGTTTTGAACATTCTCCGTTACCTGAGATTAGTTGATTTCGATTTTGTGGGGAGAAGAGGGGGGGAGGGGAGCGTGGATGAGATGGAGAAGGAGAGTAGTAGGGGGTTTCACTGCGAGAAAGCTCATCTAATGTATGACTATAGGATGGAACTAAAGGAGAAGATAGCTATGAACTATTCCCAATTGACCTCATGTAAGCATAGACAGACAACTTCAAGATGCTATTTTAGTTTATTTTAGTTTTTCATTGATAAGATAAATTCTCATTTGTTTTTCAAAGGAATTGAATGAGAATGGGAAGCCTTTTATAGACTGCTGACAGGTTGAAGTACCATTGAGGACGAAGATTGGAGAAATATATTTCATTTCAATGAACATCACTGGATTAAAAGAATTCCTTGAATAGAGAAAGAAAAAAAAATGAAAAAAAATGAATGAAGAAGTAAAATGGAAACTTAATACTGAAATTCCTTTTCCAATCTTCTTCAATTTGCCTCATATTATGTGGTGGATGGAAAGAGTGTGCAATGTAAGAGAAGACTGCTACTTCTTTTTCTCCAAAAAAGGAAGAGCAGTAATGATTTGAGTTGGAAAAGAAACAAACTTAATATTCAAGAAGATTCTTGTGTACAACGAATGAAAAAAAAAGAAAAAACGAAGATATTCCTTATTTTGATTCCATAAAATGTTAAAAAGAAAAACAAAACTTTATTATCATCATTAAAAAGTAAGTAACCCGCAAACTATCACTGGAAATATTTTTTTATTTGTGAATCAGAATGTTCGAGAGCCTCCTAAAATAAAAAATTCATTAAAAAATTATATAAAAAATGATGAAAACTTGTTGGTATTGGTGTTATTCCTTTTCGTTCCATTGATGGCGCCGAGATTTGTCTTACGAATGGATGAGGGGATGTTGTTCCAATGCTGTGATCAACGAAAGCTCTCACAATTCGACTTCCTAATATGGAAAATATAATATATCACAAATGAATGTATACACAAAAACCTGGATAGTTGCGATGCGATGCGTCGGATACAACAATTAAATGGACAAATAGAGCCAAGAAACATGCAAGTTTCATATTTTCTCTGTGGTTTCTAAAAAGCATTTGATTGTTCAAACGAAACTTCAAACAACTCTTCAACAATGAGGAAGAAATTATCAAAAACGTTCCATAATATGGCGAGTCAACATACTAGTTTATCAGCTTATTAACATCAATTCAATCAATAATTTAAAGAAAAAACAAAAACGACGACTTGTAACTCTGGTTTGCCAGTAAAAGGTTCAATGCTCAACAATAAAAAAGACGTTCTCATACAAAACATTTGAAGACAGGTTTATGAATGAAAAGGAACAAAACGACTTAACGGTTTCCATTTTTCCAAAACGAAAAAAGGATTCAAGTTATTTTAAATGTATAATCTCTATAAATCTTGAGAAGTTTTTTTTTATTACTTTTTTTTTCTTCTCTCTCTCTCTATATAAACACAACTACGTCATATAATATATTAACGAACAAATTTTTGATAATTTTTGGAATATTTGAGACGGTCAATCATGACAAATGCGGTCTATTCATTTGTTACTTAAAAAATACAAAAATCTTATAAATCTTTTGTCCATTTATGTAATAGAGAGCCTAACCCACTTTGACAACTATTTTCTTTTCATTCGTTGCAAATTCTACGGCTGAATAATTACTGTCTGTCGGATCAAATAAGTAGGTTCAAATATACAAAAGCGAAAAACATCGATGAGGGAAATAAATGCCATGAACGAGAAACTGGGGCAATACTAACCTAGTAAACCAGCAGATTTTAATTTTAAGAATCTCACAAAAATGCTCAAAACTATTTCCGCGTCTACTTCACAAGAAGGTCATCTCAAATTGACAGATCTTCAAACAAGCAGACAGTAAGTCAATGATCCTATACTTACCCATTCGATATTGATATTAGTTATGACAGTCTAGTTGACACAGTAAACCTTTGAGGTGCACCTTCACAATCCTTATTGGTTAGAAGCACTTGTGTCAGGCACGTATAGTTACTTGCAATCACTAAACGATCTATAGGCCAACATGGAGAGCCCATATGGGTAAACTTGCGAACAATGGCATATGTATGCGATGATTCGAAACTTACCTCATTAGGAATGCAACAGCTCTGTGAGTCGTAAATTCGTTAAGGATTGAGTTATGTTTGAATTGGCGAATCTTTTACGCATAAGAGGACAAACTCAACCAAGTTTGCGTCTAAAAACACATCTGGCAATGATTAGAAACCGTTTCTGTACTACTAATACTGTCACATTCTTCATCATCAAAATAAGATGTGCGCCAGAGAGAAGAAACATGTAGCACCACTACATTCCGAACTTGTGTTCCGCCGCTGATTGCGTTTAGGATTGAAGTAACAAGTAGTGACTCAATTCAATATAGCTTTATCGTTAGCACTATTGCTAGCTGTGTGTTAATCTTATGTGAAATATACAAACATGAAACGTTATAAAAAATTGACAACCGCTCGACAAACCGTGCAAGACATTTATAACCCAGCCATTTTCAAAATCTGTTCACATACTTTCTTATATAGGAAAGCATCACCTGAAAGTTATAAAATTCAACAATAAAAGACTGCGAACGAACCAGCTAGACGCTTTCTTCTTATTCCTATAGATCCTAACGATTCAACAAACACTACTTCTAACTCTACGGTCATCTCGTGGTTTTTATCCTTTTTACGACCAGAAATTTTCCAGCTGAAAAAATTACACGAGTACATTAAAGGTCACTACTTCAAAGCATACCCATTGCATTCATATTGAATTTCTTGTTGTTCGAAAACTTGAATAAGTTCGGCTTTAACCCTATCAGGATCTTTAGAAGATGTCATGGAAACGTTAACCATGCCCTATAAAAACCCTTTTTACCACATACTAGGGATCTTTTCAATACCTTTGCCGATTTAAGAACTTGAGGATCACTTTTCAATTTTCTGGGTGTCAGCATATTAATAACTGCATCTTTCTTCCTTTCCAAAGAAGCGAACACCTGACCAACCAAGATAAACAGAAAGTATACGATCTTCTTACTCTTTGTCTAAGCCGAGGAGTCTTCAAAGAGCTACGAGGAGTTCTTCCCAATGATTCCAATCCTGAACCGCTACCAACAGAAGAAGGTGAGCCAGATCTCGCGCGCTCCGTAGATTTTGCTCTAATAAAAAACTTATTTCAACCACCATGAAAACAGATACCGCTGCCTCGATCCGCTTCCAGGGCTGAATAGTGCTTTTAAAGCCGGTCGTTGAGGAGTTGAATAGATACTCTTAGGACGCTGAGTTCCATCATCTGACAGTATTTGTAAACAATTTAAAATGTGCTGACTACCAACCCATAACTTTTACTGGGCCCCGAACTCGCATAGTAGCAGAACGGTTTTCCTTATCCCGATCTACATACCCAGGCTCGAATCCGAGGCTAGCCTGAAACATGTTTTTCTGAAAAAGATGATCTCTATGAGTATCAATTTCTTTTGTTCAATTATAATAGGTCAGGCTCAGATAATCGTTCATGAATCAGCAGTATAGTAACATTTCATGTGTTACCCTCTGTTCGCTTCTCTTTGTCCTCATCGCCTGGCCCGAGCGGGGAATAGAACCATTGACCAATTTCTCTCACTACTTTCTTACTTGATCAGCCACAAGTACTTCTCTGACTTTTTAAAAACTGTTTGCTACTTACTTGCGGTCTAGCAACAGTTTTGTGGCGCACAGGCGTTACCGGATTTGGAGACTCGAAAGGCAATCGCTGCTGTGGTGATCTCCCTGTGCATACAGAAGGCATATTCAACATAGCATGAACATATGACGATTTCTTGAACAACAAAAAATGATAAGAAGAATACAAGGATATTTTTACCTTATCTCTGTCAGGAGATAACGGTCTAGCAAAACGAATCTCCCGAGAGCTATCACTTTCGGAAGACAATCCAGAGCTTTCACTGTCTTCGATATCTAATCTGTCCAAATGTTTATCAAGGGAAGCATGAATAGTGGGAGATGCTATAATATTTGGATCTCCCTATAGAAAAAAAAATTAAGAAAAAAAAAGGAACATTTATCAAACCTTTGAATTGAAATGAGGTGGTGGGAGGTTGAACTTTTCACCTTTTCGTTTCATATGAAGTAGTAAATAGTAAGAAGCAGTTAAGTAATCAAATTTCCATTCCTTAACAAATCAAGCGTGATCTGAACAAATTATTGAACATACTTTTATTCTCTTCATCATACGGTCCAGCGACAATCCATGATGATAGGCCAATTCCCTTGCAACATCTTCATCAACAATATTTTTCTAAAATATATCTCGATATGTTGTAAATAATGCCATCTTACATCATATATTGTAGTCCATTTGACAGGATGACTATATTTGTAATTAAGCCAAGGGTGCATAATAAGTTCTTTCATAGTTATGCGACGTTCAGGGTCCACCTGAGATGAAAATGATTACCGCTTGTAATCTATTGGGTACTTACAGTCAACATTGCTGACAAAAGTTGACGGTTCTGAGTTGATAAGAAATCCGGCATGTAGAATGAGCCTGTCTGAAATATTTAAATCAGACTGAGAAGAAAGAGAACAGAGAACCTGAATTTTTTTGAACAGTATTGCATTATTATCATCCTCAAAAGGTAGAGCTCCACAAACTAGAGTATAAAGAAGAACTCCCATAGACCATATATCCGCACGATCTCCACGATAATCGCGACCCTGGAACGTAAAAAGCTTCAAAGCTCAAGAGATCTAGTGTTACCGATATTAATTCAGGTGCAGCATAAGCTGGAGATCCACAACAAGTTGACAAAGGATTACTAAGTACTCCTGGCTTGGCACATAAGCCAAAATCAATAACTTTTAAATGAAGATCTTCAGTTAACAGAAGATTTTCCTACAACAAATCAAGATAACTTGGTACTGTCTCTCGTAACTACAGGTTTTAAATCTCTATGAGCATATCCCTGCGAATGAACATAAGCCATGGCTTGAACAAGTTGGCGGAAGAAATGTCTCGCTTCAGATTCTTCTAGCCTCTCTTTCCGGACAATGTAATCAAACATTTCTCCTCCAGAACAAAACTTGAACAAAACAGTAAAAAACGAAAACAATGGAAACATCTAACCTCCATAACTATGAAAAACTTCTCATAATTCTCAATAAATTGGTATAACCGGCATATATTTTGATGCGAAAGATTCCTGAGTGCATCCATTTCGGTAGCAACTCTGGGTAAGTCATCCTAAACATTACAGTGTTGTGAAAACTTTAAGAAAAATTCAGCACTTACCCCTACAGCCTTCTTATCAATAATTTTGATAGCGACTTTCTGACCCGTTAGTAAATGTGTGGCAAGTTTCACCTTACCAAAACCTGTGACAGCGAACAAAAATCATAACAAAAAGAAACTGAATCAATCGAACCTCCATGTCCTACTTCTTCATGGATGTAATAGAACCCTCTCAACTCTGGGTATTGAGTTTCTTCGGTCATATCACGCAATGGCTTGTAAACGTGAACAGCTCGGATGAAGCGGGATATGCTGAATTTCGTGATCGAATTTCAAGCTTTCTTAGAATAATTTGAAAAAAACAAAATAAGCGCTCAAATTACGAATGAGAACTGCAACATCAGTGCGCTTTTTGAAATATTTAAAATCGCGCGCTCCTCGTTTATCATTGGGGCGCGCTATCTACGAGTGAATGCTTAACAGTTATGCTAAACAGATTTTATTGAAAGGCTAAGATTGAAAGTGAATATAATTTCAACGTTTATAATCAAACATTAAATGTTTCAATCAACATATAATGATTTCATATCAATAGATTTCTTAAGTAAATTGTCCACGTATTGATCAACCTCGGTTTCTACTGGAATAGCAGCCTCGCTCATCATCTTTATGGTACCTTAAAATTTGGGATAAGTATCTATATGTTCTATTATAATTTACCGAACGAAACCCTTCTTCCGCGATTATGATGAACTTGAAGTCCCATCGATGGCTCTATTGGAGGAGCTTCATAAATAATCTTGTCAGGGATAGGTTCAGGTTGGGAGACATGTTCTACCGCTGACTCTAAGGACAAGAGGTCTTCGAATGATTGGAAAGGACCCTCTGATTTAGTGAGAATAAAGTAAATGCTTTATAATGGAGTTTTACTTGGGAAAAGCAGATCCATTTTAATTTCATGTGTAACGTCATTCACTCGGCAGCCTACTTTCTTATGTTTCAAGGCAGTGGCCATGAACAAGGTCAAATCGAATACTCGAGACTCCAAGAGTGGCTCGAAGAAGACATTGAAAGGCACTATTTCCAGCTGCAAATGAGGATAAGTATCCATAGATATTGTAATTTTATACATTATAGGCTAAATATTGATGTTCCTCAATGATCTGCAAAACATCTCGCAGCACTGCAGCTTGGTATGGCCAAACTAGCAGCATAGGCTTCTCAGATTGATTGTCCTCCAGCTCATCAACACAAATGCGACTCGCGATTTCGATTACACACTCGGACATCCTTTCCACATGAATGCGAACCTAAACAACTTGCAACGTGAAAAAAACGTTTTGAATGGAGCAAAATGAAACTTACAGGATCGTTGTTCAGGAAAATGCCATGAGTCCATTCGTACGGATGTTCAGATCGTTCCCGCAATTTTCTGAAATCTATCAGCTCATTGAAGGAGAAAAACAAGATTTAACGACCTGCAAAGTGCTCGGAATATAAAATCGTTCGGTCCCGCAATAGGGAATGTTAGTCGGAATATGAGTTGCAAATCTCCATCCAATGGAGTTGGAGTCCAATGGAGAACCTCAAAAAATAAATAGAAGCTCAGTTGTTTGTCATGCTTAGGTATACTGGAGGTTTCGTAGATATTTGGTAATTATCTTCTTCTTGGATTTGAAAAAAGTGGGAGTTCGCGAAATATTCATCGAGCTGCTTCCTCAGTTCCGTAGTGAAAACAAAAGTTGAATAGTTAAAGATGGGGAATGTTTTCCATTGATTCAATAACACTGATCTTGCATCTCTCCATTGCCCAGCAGGCACATTACTGCAATATGCAAATATTGATTTCAAAATTAACATGGAGTTTTATTTTCGCTCGATTAGGCATATGAACCGGTTGTGCAGTTCACAAATCCTTCGTATTAGACTAAAATTATTGTTTTGTTTAGAATATGACCAACTTGAGCTTTTCGAACGCGGATTGAGTAAGCTGGTCGGCCCTTTGATATTCTGCCCTGACAATCTCATCTAATCGCTCAGACTGCTGATCTGTCCATTCACGCTTAACGACAGCCAAACGAGCATTTCGGTGAGCCTTGAAAAATGTATTTTAAAATTAAAGAGAATGAATGAAAGGTTTGTAAATATTTGAAAGGAAGGAAGTTTATATTAGACATTCGAAGGAAAGTTATAATTTAGAATGACAAATGAACAGCATTGAATGTCATTTTCATCTCTGAAAACATAATTTCACCTCTGGGATTTAACTAGAAAATACACATTTAGCACATGTGCTCATTAGTGCTTCATACAATTCGTTTCGAAAATTACACGTTTCCGTTTAAGGCTCTTCATTATAGTTTTAATTGGATCGTACAAATAAGGCAATTTAATTAATTATTTGTGTCCTTTATTCAAAAGAAAACTTACATTGACTATGAAATGACGAATAGCTAAACGAAGGTTCAAATCAGTTAAGTCATCGATACCCAAAACGACATTTCCCTATAAATACACATGATTATCATTTTCAAACTTTATTGAACACTAGAAAAACCTGTGTCGGAAGAATGGAAAATATGTTGAAAACTTTGAAATCATCAGAGTTCTTCTCTGTTTCAGTTATGATTCGAGATATATCCGTTCGCAACTCTTCTGAAGCACATACTATCCACATGAATGAAAGCTGAACAATGCACGTTAAGATGACATGTACTATGATTTATGAAAAATAGAAAAAACATGCACATAAGAGAAACATTTAACGACAGATTTTCCGAAAGAATTGTTCTGATATCCATTAGTTATGCTTTACTAAACGGACTTGTCACGCTAAGTTATGTCTAGATTTGGGCATTCGGCAAGTTGAAATGAAATCTCATAAAGCATTTTTATTAAAATTCTCAGAATCAAATGTAATTCTGGAGGAAATTTCTATTAATTAAATTTGTGCAAATGATGTAGAAGTAGTTGGATTGGCAGATTGCAATTGCGAGTAGTAGAGGATGTTGAACGAAGTAACAACATGAATTATGAAGTGAGAACATTTTGATAAAACAAAAAAAAAGTTCAGAAAATGACAGAAGAAAAACTAGATATGAGTTAAAAGTTTTGTCTGATCATCAGCACAACAACTGGGTTTCAGAGGAAATGAAGGCGGAGTTAGGGATGTGGTTGGTTCGTTGAGAGAGAAATAGGAAGAGAGGAAAGAGAGAAAATAGAGCTGGCAACTCAATTTCGTTTAGGATAAAGCTACCCTCTTCAATTGTGCTTTTGAACTGAAGAGTATATGAAAAATATTATAAGAATGGATAAGAAATCTTTTTTAATAATTCAAAGTAGATGGAGCGAGAAGAAGAGAATGAAACAAAGAGGGAGAGAGAGAAAGAGAGATTGAGATAGAGAGAGAAAATGAAAATGTATGAAAGTTAAAAATAAGACAAGAAAATCTTGTTTGATTGATAAGATTTTTTTAGAAAATGACAAAAGTCATTCCAAAAAATTGATTGGAAATGATAAACATAATTTATATAAAAAAAGGCTTATAATCAATAAGTTTAATGAGAATGAATGAAATGTAATTGTGGAGAGAATCAATTATTGAAAAGGGGGCCAAAACTTTGGTAAATGGAAGATAAGAATTGCTACTACGAATGCTCATTGAAACTCATTTTATTGTTTTTCAATCAAGATGCTATCAATAAATAATAATTAGTAGTAGATATATAAGAAACCATAGATATTGATTGAATGATCTTTAAAACACAACACAACCGCTCACTGCGCACACAAACATGTAAAATGATACACGTAGTATGTGTGTGAGTGATAAAATTAGCATAAATAAGGTTTCTATCTTTTTTGAAAATTAGCATAATATAGAAGAAAACACGGAATCTCTCTCTTTCTCTCTCTCTGTTATTTCCTCCCTCTATCTTCTACCTCCCTCTGTATAGTATGTGTGGATAGTGTGTGTATGTATGCAGAAATTAGATTAACCTTTTAAATTCGGGAAAAAATCGAAAAAACAAACGAAATTGTTGAATTGAAAGGAAGAAAAAAGAAACAAAGAAGTAAATTACTTTATTTGGCAAAGGAAAATATGAAAATTTGAAATTCAAATTGGAATTTTTAAAGTAATTTTCTCTCATTTCCTATTTACTAATGAGTTTTGCATTCAATTCTATAATATCAAAAAAAGATTTTGTTGAAAGGCTTAAGCATATCATCGCCAACAAAATTGATTTTGGATTATCTGATCCCCCTTTGTTAAGCAACTTTTCTGGCAAATCTTCGTTTCTCATAGCTTCTTCCAAGTGTGCACAAGCTTCTCCTCATTGCAATAAGCTATTACTCAATTTACTGCATGTTTCTCCAAAAATTTATTGAAGCTCGCCAATTTATTCGTCAACGACCAAAACTTTTCATTTTACAAATATGGTCAATGATACTAAATGGATTTTTTGTAAGTTACTCCTGTCGATATGAGATAATCACACTCTGCATCCTTTTCAAGACGTCTTATCTGTTTATCATGTTTTCTTCGTTAGCCTGCTCCACGAATATACCAAAGAATCAAGAATACATGTTCTATATCCTTCTATCCTCCGCAATGCTTATGGGCACGATCGTTACATCTAAAATTGGTAAGAGGTAAGAATTATATAAATTTCTTTTTCAACTTTTTTTCCAATCATTTTGAGTTTTGATTCATGCCAGCTGCTCTTCGTATGCAATGCGATAAGTTCGTTGGTTTTTTGGCTTCTATCAACGTTTCACATGCCTATCGCTATATCATTATGTCTTCTGACAGCCGGATTATGCTTAGGCATAAGCTTTTCTACAACATTCCATATTTTCATTACTTCTTACTCTCAAATTAACACATTTCTCATCCATGTAAGTTCGTTTCCTGATACAAATTTGCGGGCCAAATGAAGTTTCGGTCTATTTTTGATACTTTCAAGCTTATCTACTTCTTCAACGCATTGGGGAGTCCTCTGGCAACATCTCTCTTCTTTCCACAATCAGTGGACTGTGGAAAGAAGTCAATTCCATTAACAACTCGAAATGAATCGTAAGAACAGCATAGAAAGCTTGATGACACAATACAATTATAGAAGCAAAACAATAATCTTGCAATCCTCAATTAGCATGAGTCAAATATGTTTTGCGTACATCATCTGTCAGGTAATTTAAAATTCCCTTTTTAGTTGCATATCTTCAAAACATCCAGATTCCTTTCAAATATTTGCTTCTGACAACACAATCTGGGCCTGATGAAGAGATGCAAAGACGCGAACAATATGATCTCATTGAGAATGGTGAGAAAAAAATATCCAACATTTATGCTCATTTCCGTTTGATAGAACCCGCAAAACCGAAGATCTCATACAAGCTCTTGATTAATTTCTCTGTGTTCGCAATATTGTCTTCGACTATTCGAGCAACCTTTCCATTGCTAGTATATATCCATCCGGAAGGAAATATGATTCATCTTCATATGTTCGAAGTTGGTTGCTAATCCGAGATATGAGGTGATAAAGGATAATATTCAGGCTTCATTCCTCATTGGACGCCTTCTCAATATTTATCTTGCTTCATTGATGGCTCCTTATTTGAATATGGGCATCTGTATAGTATGTTGTCAGAAAATGGAAAATCATAAATAGCCTCGTTTCAGTTAGGATGTGGTGTATCTTGCTGTATAATGTTTTTTGAAAACGGACTACTCATAGGATCAACCATATTAGGTCTTTTTTTGTCTCCAGTCGAGCCAATACTGATGTTGTACATAAAGAGTGTTCTAAAGCTACAAGGTATAGAAGGCGAACAACATCAACTCTTAAAGTTCTTTTGAAGACTCTGCTGTATACGCCATACTGACAGGAACTTCCATTGGCTTCGTGACCTTTCCTTTTTTACTTCAAATTGATCCATCAGAAAGCCGACGAATAACAACATTGTACTTCTTCATCGTTCTAATATTAGTTCTTCTTTATGTTTCCGTCTTGAATGCGCAGATCCATATATCGGCAGAGAATGGTTAGAAATTATTCTTCCTGATCATCGACGCTTTCTTTTCCAGGAACTCCGGAAAAGTTCAAGATATTCATCGATCGTTTCTTCTCAGGTCAAAATATCTTGAAAAGAACTCGTTCCATCAGGCCATTTATTACTAGACTAAGACAAAGTTCTTATAAGAGATTCAGGTGATTGTTGCTGACTCTTCTCATTTTCTGTCTTCGTTCTTTTAGGCGAAACGACAATCGCATTCAGTATCGAACTCCCACCATCGAAATTACTCTGGAACCCGAACCTAACATCTGCGATTGAATATTTTTCTTCTCAGCTCACCTAACAAGCAATTATTTCAATTTTGGATGCCATGGTTTTCTTGATTTCAATGCTAAGAATTATTCAGAAAGCGATAATAACCTTGATTATACTTATCTATTTCTTACTATACTATCAAGTAGTAATTAAAGAAACTATCAGAGAATGAGTTTTGCGAGAATCAAGAAGGATTGTGTGTATCATGTCGTTCAGGGGATATATGTATGTTAAAGAGTAGAGCTTATTAGTCAAAGCCATATGATGTGGTTGTACAGTAACGCATTTATCTTTCATAGTTCAAATCCTTCTTCCGATATGTGAAACCATCTAGAATGAGAAGGTATGGCTTGTTGCCAGGGAGCACATAGATAAATGTTGAGAGAAAAGGGTTATTGGATAAACAGCTATCGAACATGACTTTTTGTGTTTGATGTTTTCTTCTAAGCAGGGGTTTTCTTTTGTTTTCTTAATTCGTCTATTCCAAGAATAGTTTTGTTTAATAGTTGGAATCTGTTTCAATGAATCATGCACATTAAAACTCCGGAGGAGCATTACTGAGGTTGAATAGTTCCTATAAGAAACATATTTGAATATAATATATATGTTTATAAAAATCTATCCACTTTTCGATCACAATTAGAAGCAATTAAAAGAAAACCAAGAAAAAGATATAAACAGAGAGAGACAGAGAGGGGGGGGGGAGGGGGTTTTTGAACATTTCTTGAGGAATCCGAAAAATAATAAATAAGGTTTCAAGTTATTTTACTTCCAAACGTTTCATAGAGAAAGACTTCTTTCGTAGCTTATAGTATGTTCGTAGAGCATGAGAGGGAGATGTTAGAATTACAAACTACATGGACAATTGGAACAAAAAATAGCTGAGAAATAAAGATATTAAGGAACCGCTGAAAACGTCAAGCATTTGGTTAGTATTGGAGCCTATGTTATACACGTAATTCAATTTCTGGTCTCATTACGAGCAGTTTTGGTTCAGACTGAATGAGAAAAACGAAAGGATGAAGGTAGTTCATAGCGCAGTATGGTTTTTGTATGGGAATTCTAAACCGTTTCTAGTATTTTGTTTAAATTATAAAAATAATGATGAAGAAGGAGAAGAATCAGTATATCCTAGGATTCAGAGAAAACAGACAACTATTTGAAAAATGAGAAAACTTTGGAGCCTGCTCCTTCAACAAGACTAGACACGTTAGAGACTGCAGCAGTTGCATTACCAAGTGATGATGGAAAGACAGAAGATGGTGTTGAGCCGTTGCCTTGAAAACTGATTCAAAGTAGAAGATGAAAGAATTATACCTTGATCTTGTAGAGCAACATTAGCTTCTTCTAATTGTAATCGTTTACTGATGGATTGATAAACTCGGCCATTGAGGCGTTCTTCATCGATTCCATGTAACTCGAAATCAGAATAAACTTTCTGGAGAGAATCGAGTTATATACCATTACGTGGAGAACCACCAAATATACCTTTACTATAAAACTGAGTGACTGGAACTGATAAACGGATAAAGATTGTTGCAATCGCTCCGTCAGCCAATCGTTTATCATCTTCATTTGACTATCATACCATTTCTGAAGAAAAATATAAGATCCAGTTGTTTTGTTTCCTTGTCTGTGATTTACCTCGAATAACCGGTTAACCCATATTTCGTCAATAACTATCTGCCGGAGCTGTTCTGTACATCCTCTCATGAAAGTGACGTATGAGTTTCCTATGTGGCCAGTTGACTGCTGCTGTGATACAGGGGTTTTCTTAAACAGTTAAGAGTTTAAAAAGAAGAAGAAAGTGAAGAGAAGAGTAGCCAACTACAACTGATTTCAAAATGGTTGAGCTACTCACCGAGTTTGGCGTTGATGCCGTTGATCCACCGGATATATTGATACCTTGTTCTCCAACCATAGTTTTAACTTTATTGAAAATGGATGTCGGTTTTGGCTGAAAAAGGAAAACAGTCACACACATCGTTTCAGACAACTGCTTACCGCCATAGATAGTAAGGCTCCAATAGGATTTCCTTCATCGTATCGAGCTAACTTGCCTAAGACGAAGTCAAGAACTCCCATCATTTTTTCCTGGATACAGCCGTCCATATCTCTTAGCATTGTGTCTAATGTTTCTTCTAGCTTCGAATGATATTTATGCTGTAAATCAACGCTCTATAAAAGAAAAGTTCACAACAGCTCTTACATCGCTAGACTCATTGGCAGCACGGGTAGCTCTTGCTTTGCTGCTGAATATCACATTGATCATAACGCAAATCTCTGATGGCAAAATGTAATCGGTGTTCCGACGAGCTTTCTGCATCCAGATGTCAAATTGTTGATAAGTACTACAACAGAATTTGATAAGTAACACGAAAATAACAACCAGTTCACCTGCTTGCAACTCGCGTAATCATATCGGATGTCAAGTTTCGCATTCTAAGATGCAAAAACTTGCGAAATTCTTCCTCTGGCCAATTGAGGTCAACAACAAATCCGTGGAGAGCATCCAATTTCCAATAAATATCCTCAGATGTACCACATCCTTCCCTAGAAAAAGATTAGAATGATCTTTTGATAACGATTCCTCTTGAGCTTACTTCCGTTGCTCCCATTTTTCTTTTACAAATCCCTTCTCAATAGCTTGAGCTACTGCTTGTTCCATCAAATCACAATAACGGCTGACTAACGGTTGAAACTGACATGTCAGCTTTTTATGGAAAGTTCCGCCTTTTAAGTATTCTGAGGAAAGAAAATTCAGCTAAATTTTTGTTTTAAAATTCATACGTTCGCTCATTAGAAAATCATTCAACATTTGGAACAGTGGGAACGAATCCCATGTGTCTTGTGGTTGAACTTCAAGAGCAGCGTCCAAATCTACAGAGTACAGTGACCAAAAGATTTCCGAATGATCAGCCAGTAAGTCGGAAAACCAAGCGAAAGCCTAGAATGACAAACGTATATCACCGTCATTGAAAACAGATCCTAAGCAATGGTTAGACAAATACCAAATCTTCAGAATATTGAAGAGAACCTCAATGTTCTGAGATGAAATAAGAGGCGGTTAATGGCTACTTTAAGCTTCACTCTAGCGTATTTCAAAGAATGTTATTGTGAATATAAAACATTAATTATGTTGAAAAATTAGTAGTGAACAAGTTAATGACTAAGCTTTCGATCAACACAACGAACAAGAAGCTCTTCAAACGAAAACATCGAAGAATTTGAATAATTTTCAAAAAAGTGCAAATGAAGCAAATCACAAAAACTTCGAATGAAACTTCAAACACATTCATTTATAATAGATTTACTATTATAAACTATATAAATGTTAATGAAAAGTAGAAGTTTGGCTAGTTCTTACCCCTCGTAGTTGCTAAAATAAAGAGAAAAAATTATAAATATCTAGTTAGAATCTACTATAGATGATAGAAAAAATAGCAGAACTGAATTTCGTGCACGAAAGAGATTATTCTTTTCATTGGTTTTTTTGAAATTTGTTTTTCTCAATTGGATAAGTTTGTTATTCTGAATAACCGACTCACCTCTCCATGATGTTCTTCATTCTCTTTTAACAAATCAATACAGAATTCTGTGACCCGAATCATGTCTTCTATACGTTGAATAGGCGTTATGTTCTCTCCCATCCGTTCTTAAAAAAATTATTTATTTCCAATCTTCAGGGCAGTCTATGAGATTACGTTCAATCTTTGCTTCATTACATATCCTGGTATAGTTAACGAGAGCAGCATCTTCTAGACACTTGCGTATCACTCCTCGAACTTCTTCTGGTGGAACCGGAGAAACAACATCTTTCATCAAAACCTTCAAGTCGAAATTCAAAAATATAATAGTTTCTCTTGAAACGAACCCGTTCTAATAATGATAATGTTCCCTTCAAAGCACCTTCTGGACGTCCAAATGGAAAACAGTATCTAAAAGCAACAGTTTTTATGGTTTCTACCAACAGTTTCACCGAAAATTTGTTATTTGCTTCTCTAATAAAACACGTAGTCTCTCTTTGATTTCTTGGAACTTTTCTTTTTCCTCCAATGTTACTGTTCCAACACCTTCCGGCTTGTACGGCTCACTAGCACTGTAGAGAATAACATAATTTCAACATATTTGAATCTACGAACCTGTGCTCTGCACGATTTCCATGCACATGACTAGCACAAAAAGCAAAAGAGTAATGGATGAGGGTTGGATCTATCAAATGGCCTTCATCCGCTTTATCGAGAAGAGCTCGGAGTAAAGCTATATGACGGTAACATCCTCGTACCATATACCGAGCACAGTATTCATCCAGCACAAACACTTGCGCAGGCGAAAACCATCCCTACAAACAAACAGTTGAACTGGAATAACTTTTTTCCGAATGGTACACAGCTATCGTTAAAGTTTTTCAATATATTTTCCACGGTACGTGAATAAACGTGTCCGGGCAAACTTCAACTTTTCATTTTCATGCTATTTGATTCACGAATCGGTTGCTCATATTTCTTGTTTAGAACTTACCAATGAGCAAATGGGTTCACTCAAGCGATACATCAAAACTTGGGTCTGAACGTGTTCGAATGAATGTTGCTGGTTGAGAGACATTGGGTCAGCCTTAAAAATATGGTAACGAGTTTTGTTTTGTTTATAGCAAAACCTGAATTATTTCATCCATTCCATGCTTTGAAGCTTTGTCTTGGAATCCTTGAGCTTTAGGTGTCACAGTTGATTGTTTCGGCGGCACAGGCTTATAAGCCTGACCTGTTGCTCGATAGAGAGCCTGATGTTGATTTAATGAACTGACTGAATCACGACTATCATATTACCTGTACCCACATGTGCCTTTCGTTTTCATCGTCAGTCGCCAGTTTCAGTTCATCACCTTCTTTTATGGCAGTGAAGAAGAACTTACCACCACTGTTAGACAATTCTGAATCACGTAGAGTTAAGAAAAAAATCATTAACGAATAGAAAACCTTGATCGGGTTCAGGCATATAATCGATAGTAAAGCCATCAAGCTGTTGGAATTCTGTTGGTTCTGATTTCTTTTCTCGAAAAGAGCAAATGGCGAAAGTATATTGTGAAACTTGGACTAAGCAGAAGAATCGTCTTTTCCATTTTCTCCACACACTTCGACCCATACAGTAACAATACCCACAGTACTTCAAGTTAGGCGGCTTATCAACACTATTAAAACCATATGAGGAGTTTCGCTGAAGAACACATCATACCGTATAGCGATTCGAATCTTCAAAGTTTGGTCCTGGCTATTCTTGGGAACTGTCATGGAATACCATTCTGGAGAACGAGAACAATTGGGTGTTGGTTGAATGATAACCTGAAACGATGCCAAGAAATGCTCAAGCAATGAATGCCATGTCTCACTTTTCCTAATTCCTTATCTTCGAAAGAAACAATACTTTTAACTTCACTATATAATTTCACTTTAACAACTGGTAACACGTTCTTTGTAGAGAAATCTCCTTGTGTATCCCAGGATGGTTTAGAAGCTTCTGCATGATCTGTCTGCAGCTTATGACCATCAACTTCCATCGTACAGTATACTATCCGATTTGGTTGAAGAGATTTCAACCCGTTAACCTCCATAACAACAACCTACAACAGTTCAATTTATGCTCTTTTTTTTGACAAGCAATGGTGAATAAAAACGACTAAACACCTACTTCCATATTGAGAGTGAGACAAACATCTGACTTGGTCAAGATAACTTCTTGCTCTTCGCTTTCTGTCTTGTTGAGAGAGCCCGAGCTAGTCCGTCGTTTTAAACTGAAAATATTATAATTATTTTTTGTTGCAATAGACGACAAAAAAATTTGAAAAAAGCTGATCGTTTTTGCTAATAAAAAAAAGCAGTCAGACCATTCATCAATCCGTACAAAATCTCAAAAAAAAAATTCTTTTGAGTTTCAAATGAGAAAGCGTTTTAATGCGACAAGCAACACTCTGGAATTTTCTTCCGTTTTCGCGCATTTGGTTAGAAAACCTTCTTCTACATGGGTAGGGAGGGGCATGAGGGAAAAAATTTGAATTATATAATGAAGAATTATCAACTATCAAAATAAATGAAATTAAAAAAATAAGTAAATTATAAAGTTGAAGAAATAATTGAAAATATTAGTTGAAGCAAGCAGTCGAAGGAGAGTAAAGGCAGAAGAAGCATTCAAACACTTCAAATTCACTCCAAGTAACATTCATACATATATATTATAATATCCATTCATATTATAAATTATATGAATAAAAGCTAGTATCTTCAGAAACTACTGAAATTCTCAAAAAAAAAGCAGCAAAACATTCAAACGCAAGCAGCAGCTGGGATGCAAGTATGGAGAGAGATAACTCAAACTAAAAGTCTTCCAATGATGAAACATCTTTTTCCTCTTATATCTTCCTTCTCACAGCAGATGGAAAAAGTGTTTTGGTTATTGTTTTTCATTAGAACTTTTTTTTTGTAAAATTAAAATGATTATTTAGAAGCCAGCAATATCCTTGGATATCAGCCACAGCCAAGCAGCTATAGGATGAGAAAGCAAACCTGTTAAAGAGCGATAAGTCCTCTATGCTTCGAGATCTAGAAAAAGAAAAAAACAAACTAATTTATAAATAAATAATTAAAAAAATAAATAAAAAATTGTGAAAGAATAAAACCGAAAATGGCATTCTCTCATGTTGTGAACGAACACAGTGCATGTCGCTGTTATATCCGGAAATGACTAATATAGCTTTGAGCAGTAACTGATAACTTGCATGAACCTCAAAACGATATAGCCATAGCTGGTGTGTGAGTGAGTAAGTGAGAGATGTGTGTGCGTGTATATGTGTTTGTGTGTGTATGTGTGTAAAACTTATAAACAAATGCTTTTAAAATGTAGCTGTAGTTTTTCTAAAGTTCTTTTTCTTTTCATTTCTCCAACAAATCCTTGACGATCATTTCACGTGCATTTGAAGATCGTTAAGACAGACAGACACTTAAGTGAAAAAAAAATGAACGAAATGCTCTCATTTTTTTTTCTTCTCAATCGAATGAAAGAAGTTATTGAAAGGACAGGATAGGAAAGACTTGCTGATAGAAAGAGACATTCACAGGTGTAACAGACAGTTAGATGCGTGAAAGAAAAAAAACGAAAATACTCAGGGTTTTCACAGTCGAAATCAGAAGTGAAATTAGGCGGAGAAGAAGAAGAAAATAGAAAATACAGAAGAATCAGATTAAGAATCCGATTAACGTACCGTTTGTTCTTTGTGTTGTTACTGAAAAAATGAAAAAAAAGTTTTTTCTTTAAATTTTAAAAGAAAAAAAAGGTAATGGAAAGTTAGGAAAGATAAACTTAAAGAAAATTTTGATAAAGGGCCGTATCGTTGGCGATTTAAATCGTATATGACGTATAACTATATGTATATAGTTTAAATAAGATCATACCGCGATTTATCCTTTCGTTTTCCTCCGCCTGTACCACGAGGCGCTACCGGAACGGACTCCAGATTGGATATTAGCATGGAGACTGATTGCCTAACTTCATCCATATACAACGTTTCCATATCTTTTACAACAAATTTTGGCATATGTCTTCGCATCTAGAAAACAATTCGATAGAATGTCTATTATGAAGAACTTAGGAAACCTTGACAATATCCTTTAAGCACTCTTCTCGTAAACCGACTTCTCTCCTAATGGTAGCTGCTTGCTCGTCCGGATTATCAAGCTGAAACATAACTTATGCGATTTGTTCAGTTTATATTGATACCTGTAGAGCATTAAAAATGATCTGGTGCTCGAACTTCTTAACTGCCATTATTTGTTGGAACATATCGTACATCTGTTCTTTACTGAGTACCATATCGCTCTGAGCTTCTTTCACTTGGTTTCGACCACGCAACCTTCAATAGTAGCAATATCATTTCGTCTCAAAACCTCACACCTACCTTCCCTTTTGTGAATCATCATCCCCTTTACAAATTGCATCATATTTTGCCAACCATGCTGATAACACCATATCTTTACTCAAACCTTCGATTTCAGGTAATGATCGTATCCTTTTCTCAATATTTAACCGAAACACCTAGACCGTAGAGATTAATTGGAAACATTCAGTTGAAAGTAATATACCTCACGGAAATCATGCATTGAAAATCCACCGGCATTAACTACTTTTTGTACCCGCTCGGATTTGAGAAACACTTCATGATAACTCTGAATGGCTTTAATCAAAGCTTCATCAGCTGGTATATTCGTTTCTCCTCGCAAAAAGCTAGCAAATCTGGAAGAGTTCCCGTCATTTGAATATGATTCCGTTCAATCCTACCTATCCTTTAACCGGGCTAATTCCGGTTTCGTCACTTTCATCTGACGCCTTGCCATATCGGTTGGTAGTTTGGCATTGAAATGATATGCTATGCATCTTGCCACAAAAACATATAACTGAAGGTTTTCTTTGTGCTCTTCTTCTTCTTTCTCTGCTCTGAACAATACTGTCGTTGAATTGGAAATTGAAAAGGCTTCAACCTTATCCGTTCTTGTTCTTCTTTACTAAGTGATGTTTCTTCATTTGCTTGCAGAACTAAGGCATCTTCTTCGTCAACTTCATTATCTGATATATCTTGTGAGGATTGAAATTGCGGGCGAGAAGCTGAGGAAGCATTCCGAACCTGAAAGTATAACTTCAAAAAGTTAACAAGAGATATTCTGTGTCGAGAGATACAACCGCTCTCTTTTGTCACAAATATTTAAATGATGATATCACTTTCACGTGTGCTCACGTGAATGAAATGTTTTAAAAAGTCGATTCTTACCGAACGAGCTGGCGTTTGACTATGTGATGAGCCTTTCCGTCGATAAGTGCTGCTACTATTATTTCTTTTTAGTGAATTAGTCTAAAACGAATATCAGAATGCGTCTACCATTTGTAAATACCTGAGAAACAGAATCTGAAGGTGCCGGAGATGTTGAGTGCGGAGGGGAGGTTGTGCATTGATTTGTTCCAGCCAAAAGATTCTTTTTATAACAATAATTAACTTGAAGCTGAAAAGACGGAAGGTTAATGGTTAGCATTTGAAAGATAAGATTCAATCAGTTTTTTTGGATTTGCCCTTTTCCCCGGAAAGATCTTTGGTTTCACGTTCCTCACTGTTAATGAGAATATGGATAAATCATCGAAATGCTTAATGTCGCCCATTGACGAAATCCGATACTTTTTGGAGGATAAAAGAGAATTGTTCTTGTAGTTTCAAGTATTGTTTGATGAAAAAGGAAAAGCTAAATGTTTGCAAAATAGAATGAAAAACAATTTGAACTTTCGAACTTTTTTTGGGAGCGAGTGGGTGGGCGAAGAAAAAGAGAAGAGCAAATGAAAGTAACTGAAAGTGTTAGATGATCACAAGTTTACCTCTTTCCATGAGATGGAGAGAAAAAAAAAGAGGAAAGAAGATGAGAAGCGAGAATGTGCGAAATTAGTTCCCACCATATCAGTTTTCCGTATTGCAACCGTCTTACTTAATTTATTCTCTTTTTTTCAGAATAAACGGCTCCACGTTAAATTCCAAATGTTTTTGAAAGAAAACAAGGAGGCAGAAGGTTATCATTAGTATCTTAGCAAAATGAAACGAAAAAGAGAAGTGAGGGATGTGGATGTTCGAAGCATGGAGTAGAGAGAGCCGTAGAAAGAAAAAAAAACGGATAAAAAGCTTTCCATTTAACTGGCCGAACTTATTTTTTCAAGAAAGAGACATGCATATTTCATGACTTACCTCGTCCTCATTTACAAAATCATCATCGTCATCTTCACTACTACTGGCACCTAACATGCTGAAAAGGAAAAGAAATAAATTGTTGGAACAAAAATGAAGACATTGAAGTTGAAGAACATCAGTGATTTCGAAAATGGAACAAGATCAAAACAGAATGAATGGAAAGAAACAACGAGAATAAAGACGAACATGACGTGAATAAAACGAAATTGGCTAAAACAGAAGGAAAAAACCCGAAGTAAGAGCTGACAGATGAAGATCGGTAGGGCAAAAGGAGAAATATGAAGAGTCACAAGAAATGGAAAGAAAGGAAGAAATTGTGCTCATGGATGTGGAAAATGAGCGAGAAAAGCTGAGAAACAAGAAGATGAAACTATAAAATAGGTAAAAACGAAAAAAAATACTATGAAAACAGAGAGAAAAAGAGAGAGAGGGGGGAGAGGAACAGAGAGAGAAAGGGTGAGGGAGAGAGAGGTGAAGATAGAAGCAAGAGGGAATCAACACAGGATTAAGAGAGAACGTGAATTTGAAATGAATAATGGAGACGGAAAACGAAGAACGTGAAAAGTTTTGAGCAGAAAAAAATGAGAAAAAAATGAGGGTCAATCGAATTGTATGAAAAATTTGTTTGAATATGAGGAAGTGAATTGAGTAGGAAAGGGAGAAGAAGTGGCAAAAGCCTGGGAAAAGCAAGTAAAAGATGCTTCAAGATGTTTCCTGAACAGCTTGTTTCCTTTTGCGGATGGATCTGTTATGAGCCTTTAACGACAAAACACTGACAGGACTCAAAATTAAAGAATGCAAGTGGGAATGAGAGAGGAAAAGCAAAATCGAATGATTGAGGAGAGACACATTCCTCTGGGCTTTTTTTTGTTCTTGTTGAATATGAAAATCTTATTTGTCTCATAGCTCGAATGATCTGATGAAGTTTGGTGGAGAGAAGGTTAAACGAGGAACGAAATAAAGATGAAAAAGAAAATGAGAGAAAATAACATAACGAACTTAAAAGAGAGAGAGAGGGAGCAAGTTGGAGGGAGTAGCCAGCTGCAAATGACATATTGACAATGAAAGCCATGGAAGGAAACATGAACTGGCTAACCAGCAACACGAAGAGAAAGAAAAGGGAAAAGCATGTAAAAGCTCAAGAGAGAAAGAGTATGAAATGGCAAATAAAGGAAAGGAGGGTGAGAGAGAAAGGAAAGTAATGTTCTTCACGAACCCTAGAACCCTTCTACTCAGCTATTTCGATAACAAAATAAGAGAAAATACATAAAATGTAGAAGATAAATGAATATTAGAAGACTTTCTTATTGATTAAAAGAATAGAAGAGAAGAAATTCAATTTCCACAGTTAACATTAAGGGTTGAAATAGAAGAAAGGGTGGAGCACAAAAGGCAGAATGTTAATGTAAGCAGGTAGAGACGAAATCTTTATTCACTTACTTCTCAACGAGAAAACGCAGATAGATATTACTAAAGAAGGAAAGAAAAGAAGAAGAAGAAAGAGAGAGGAGCAGAAAGTGAGATAAAGAGCAAGAGAGTAAGACAGAAAAAGTTAAAGAGATTTTGAATACGAAGAAAACCTTTGTCAGCAACCGTTCCGTGCCCATGCTTCGTGCGAAACCGATTCACGTGAACAATGAAGCTCACGTGAAAATTAGAATAATTTAAGCTTAAAAAATGAAAAATAAAACTACTGAGTATGAGAGCAAATATAAAAGAAAAGGAATTTGCGATGACAAAAATAAAGTTCGTAATGAGAATGTATATTGAGCAGGAATAGAAGACGAATAGGGTGGCAGCATGGAGGTAAGTTATTAGAAGAGAACGTGGCAAAGAAATTCAAAGAAAGAACAGCGTTTTGCATCGTTGTTGATGTATTTGATGAAAAAAAGCAAGGAAAAACAATGATTGTAGTACGTAGAAATAGGAAAATAATATATGATGTACATATCTATATGGTATAGTTAGATATAGTAACATATTAATAGAAATCTTGTTAATAGAAAAAAAAAATTTTGCTCCAAAAATAGTCTTTTCGAAAACTTCTGTTCAAGCTTGTACTTTACTGTCTGCGAATAGATTGGAGGAAGAGGTGGGAGAGAGAAGATGTTTTGCTTTCTGTGTTTCACTTGGAAATTACTTATGATGGCGGCTGAGCTGATTCTGTTTTATACAATCAGCAGGCAATCTTGAAAATAATTGTTTTTTCTTGTAAAAGTTGACAAGAAAATCTTTCTGGACAAAACTAAGATAGAGAGAGAGGAAGATGTAGAGAAATGTGTGTGTATCAGAGAGATAGAGAGAGAGAGAGAGAGAGAGAGAAATAGAAAGGAGGGAGAGAGTGATAGAGAGTGAGGGGGAGGAAAAGAGGGACGGGGAAGTAAGCGAAAGAGAGAGAGAATCGGACGTTGTGCCTTCTGAATACTAAGCATCTGGAAAGCGATTCGGAATAGATTGTTGACTTATAACACACAGCTATAGGAAGAAGCTAAATGACTATAAAAGCCAAAATATTTAAAAATTGAAGCATCGTTATGAAATATCCTTTTTTCCCACAAAAAATATTTTAATTCCTATTTTAATTTTTAAAGAGTCTTGTCTCTCTTTCCTTCTCGTTTTTTTTTTATAAAAATTGCTCAAAATCTGAACTCGCTCGGCTCGGCTGAATCACAGTTGCGAAAAGACACAGCTCAACTGGATGATGAATTACTGCCAAAGGCTTGAATTGAGAGTTTTTTTTGTGAAGGGAAATTCATCTCAGTAGTTTCATGCACAAATAGTTTCCTAGAAAGTACAAAACAGCTTAAGAGGCTGTTGAAACTTCGGAAGCTTTTTCGATTATACTAGAAGATAACAGAGCAAAAAAACGTCTGCTGGCTACATTTTTTTGGAAATAAGAACGACATTTCTAAAGATAGTTGAAGAAGAGCCTTGGAAGTGTCTTGGACGTGCTCACTCGAAATTCTGGTGCTGATATTCATCCCATGAGACTATTCCTGTTGGGACCATTTTTGACCTCTCTGCTTATTTGAATTTTTTCTTGTTTTAAGCTACAAAACACTGCCAGTTGCAATATTTTTGAACGTTCTATACGAGCATGTAACATCGTACCAATGATTTCTATATCAAAACAGAATTGAGAGGTGTATGCAGCATCGAGAAAATGTGCGGATCATCCAAATGTTCTGGGAAAATTAACGAAATACCACAAATGAGATACGGCAAAAGTTAGGTACATTGGTTTTGACCAAAACCAAAAATCAAATGCTAACAAAAGTGAAAACAAAAAAATCTACAGTGAAAACGGGCGGAGCTTTAAAGTTCAAAGCAAAACTTAGGCTAAACGAAAAGGGACACAATGAAGTGACAGAAATGCTTCATAGATACATATATAGATGATTAGAGAGGAAAAGAGAGAGGGAGGAAGCTAAATAAGAAGAAAAAAGCGAAGTCAGAGAGCCAAGTGGAGTAAATTGAGAAAGACGATGCAAAATGAAGAGATGTCGAAGATGAAGAAAAATGTATGTTCATCGATTATTTATTAAGAATGTTTAATCCTGTCGTCTTGATGGCATCTGAAGTAAATGTAAGGAAGAAAGTATATGTGATGGTAAAGAGCGTTGGATGGTTGATCAGGAAAGCCTATGAACGAAAAAAAGAACAAGGATGAGAAATGAACAAGAGAAGTAACAATTTGTTAGACGAAACATGGGTAAAAGAAAGAGAATGATGAGGGCTAGCAGATGGGCAGAAGGAATTTTCATGGATGCCATCATTGGTCATGTTAGATGTGCAAAAGAATCTACTATGGATTATAACCATTTAGTTGCTGGAAATGCAAATGAAAGAAGATTGCATTAAGAGGAGAGTTCTATTTTTTTTCGGAAATTTATTGAGAAAGATGTTTGACCGAAAAAATGGAGGAAAAAAAGAGACGAAAAGCGAATTGATAAGGAAATACTTGTTCAAAGACACGGAGTTAGCAGAAATGTTTAGAATAGGGAAATGTATGTGAGCAGATAATCAAAGATTTGATTCTATTCCATGTCGGAAGGAAAAGCTAAACAAAGAAATTGTTTTTAATCATTTTTTTTTTTCGTCTTCAAGCATGTAAAATTGATAGCAAGAGAAAGCTGTGAGCTAGAGTTGTTCATCATTATCTAGTGATGGACGTATACTATGTGCTTCATCGTTGAGATCACAACTTGGATTTCCTTTTCGCACTTTCAAAATTAGACAATTATGTGAAAGATGTTCAAAGGATGCTTAGAATAATAAGTGGCTAATAAGAATATTTAAATTTTTTTTGTCTCATTTAAAAGATTTATGAATGTATAAATTATGAAATATAAGGATATAATACATAATATTTGATGGAAGAGAACAAATGCAACCACTCACTACGTATGCAACTGATAGAAATGACGAATTCACGTCAACGCAGAATGATGTACGTGATAATTCACGCCAAAATTCTAATTTGTGAACGCTGAAGATGAGAGTTGACGATTGCCTGAATCTTATATCATTATTGCTCTTCAAGTTAAAGACGTTGCGTAAAAAAAGGAAATTATTCAATTTGAGACGAAAGGAATAAGAATGAAAGACAAAACTTCGAATGAGTTTTCATCATTCGCCTTCTGTGCTCAACAATATTTCCTATTTGGCATCCTGAGATGGCTGGCAGCGATAAAGGAGCGAAAGGTAACACTTAATTGAGAGAAAAGAATGTAAACAAGAAAACTTTTCAAACGGATTGATTTTCATTTAAATAATTTAGATGGAATGGGTTACATAAAGCCAATATAGGCTATGTCTCTATGAAACATACGCAAAAACGACTTGCAATTGTGAATAAGAAGCTGATGGACGATAATCAGAAACATCTACTTCTATAGATGGCCAATAAACAATTAAATATTCTCATCACAAAGAAATTAATTGATTCAACTAGCAGGCAGACAGTTTTTTGTTTCATAAATCATAGAAAGTACGTAAAACAAAAAAACAATGTCGAATACATTTGACATCAAACAGCAAATGCTGTGTGAATA